TTCCCTGTGTGGCCTCTCAACGAGGGGTACTTTTGAATGAGCGCTGTGCACACATGTATTGCTGGGTAGTGGGGTACATAAAGCAAAAGAGAAACATACAAGACTACATTTAGACTAAAAATTATGTTTGTAATACAAATGACATTGATTGATGCCGTTGATTATCGTCATGTAAAAGTTGAGTATGTGCTATGCGATCAGCTGCAGTGATTATGACAAGACAGTATGGTGGAGAGTAAGGAGGACAGAGACAGGATAAGAGCTCAGGGTGACACACACACACAAGCATTACGATTCATAACTGAGGAACTTATATCATTAACATTAAGCTAAGATCAGTTCATTACATAACTATACTCACCAAAGTGTAGGTACACATGAAGTCGAACAACACTTGCCCAATCTGAGACCTTTTTTAACACGGCTGGAAATTCTGGAAGTCTAAACCCAGAAGGCCAGACTCTTTGGTTGATTGATGTGTCATGTTGCTGGCCAATTGATATCTCATGCTGAAGGCCAACTGGTGTGTCATTGTGCTGGACAGATGCTGGGTCATTTTGCTGGACAGATGCTGGGTCATTTTGCTGGACAGATGCTGGGTCATTTTGCTGGACAGATGCTGGGTAATTTTGCTGGACTGATGTTGGGTCATTTTGCTGGACAGATGATGGGTCATTTTGCTGGACTGATGCTGGGTCATTTTGCTGGACAGATGCTGGGTCATTTTGCTGGACAGATGCTGGGTCATTTTGCTGGACTGATGTTGGGTCATTTTGCTGGACAGATGCTGGGTCATTTTGCTGGACTGATGCTGGGTCATTTTGCTGGACTGATGCTGGGTCATTTTGCTGGACAGATGCTGGGTCATTTTGCTGGACTGATGTTGGGTCATTTTGCTGGACTGATGCTAGGTCATTTTGCTGGGCTGTTTGCTGTGAACTAACAATACCGTTTTTTGTGCTTTCAGGCACAAAAAGAAGAAAAAAAAGAGCAGAGAATTTGAATAGGATCAATGTGATAGACTCAATGATGCAGATAACAGTCATAGATTGACTTACCTATTTACAGCTTTTAGATTCTCCATTCATTTTGTGAATTTGATTCGAACTTTGATGATTGGAAGGAGTTGCTCCACCATACTTTTTGTATGGAGGTCAATGAGAGTGACTTTTTTGCTATGTGTGGCTCATTTGACAAGTGACATCCTGGCAACTTGGAGAGAAAAAAACACTTTATATCGGATAAACTCATAATACTTTTATTTCCCTTTTGACCCAATCAAATTTCAGATAGTCTGAAGTAGTCTAGACAAGATGTAAACTGAACAATTAAGCAGCTTGCTTAGTTCAAATGAACAGACAAATGTATTCAACATGAATAGCGAGGCGATTTCGAGGTAAGAAGTGCTTGTTTCCCAATAACCTGCTGGAATAGGCTACTGAGGATGGGGTCATAATTTCAATCACTGAATTAAATATTAATAATATGTATATGAACTGAATATGCTTGTCAACAACAGACAGTGGTTTTTTTTTTTCATAACCTGTAGCCTAATCTGACTACTGTTACCTTCAATCTAATGCGTTCTAACAACTGATCGGCAATTGCGATATAGCTTTGATAACTTCCAATTTAATTAACTAAACATGTCCATTAATAATTGCATAATAACATAAGGCTACAACAACAGTAAACTCAAGTTATAGACTATTTATTAAATTGGTTTGCCATTTCAAATTTCCACTCGGGCAGCCCCCGAGACCCAAGAACTGAGCATGCATAAAACACTTCGCTTGATACCGTTTTCTTTAACCAAAGTCAACATTAGAACGCAGTTTAAACCACCTCCAAGCGAATGTATGTAATGCACCCAAAGTCGTTTTCCAGTGCTTTGTCTCCATTATTTCTTGATGTGCATCAGTTCTAGTGTATTAATATGTTTTACGGAAAAGGGGTTGGAAATAGGTGTCTCTATAATGACAGTCTTAATAGCCTACCTACAACTGGTAAAAAGTTGGCTCCTTCTCTCGCTCACGTGACTCAGCCAATAGCTGTAGCGCTCTCTCAACACATACACACCCCTCCGTCCCTCCCCAACACTCACTCAGCAACAGTCTGCCTCACTGCCTGACAGTAAGCAGCAGGTCACATTGAAATATATTTATTTTAAGAGAAATGCCATGGCGGCCGCGGTGCAACCCGCGACCAATACATTTTCACCAGCGACATCATTTTCAAAGTATCCCAATTCGCGAGGAAAGCGCGAACATGCAACACTGCTTTTGTGGGGGTTCATGAAGGAACCAAGGGGGTGTTCATGAAGAAGCTTGGGAATGTTGGGGGGGGGGGGGGGTTCCTGCAGATGCAGGAATGCCCACATGCAGGAACGCCCCAAATTGCGGGCTGCAGTTGCACACTATTGGCCTCTTCCTCTATGGCCACTCCAAAGAGAGTACTCTACTGTAGTGGGCCACGACTCCAGGATTGTTTAAGTCGACTCCGACTCTGACTCCTGTTGTCGGAGTCGAAAGTAGTCGACTCTTGCTCAACTCCGAAAACACGTTGAAACGGATGCGGACACACGTACACACAACCTCATTATTGCAGAGTCCTTCAAGGAAGACTACATTTGCGTTCTAGAGGACTGACATGAGCATGCCCATTTGGTCATCAACTTTGCTTATAAAATGCCTATTTTGTTTGAATATAGAAGGTGATGTGTAGGAACTAGAATATTTCTGTGATATTTCTGCTGTGTACAGCCTTGACGGATCACATGGGATGATGCGAGGCACTATGCTGATAAGCCTATTCTTTGCCATGTTATAGCCCTATTCGGACGAGTATTACTAGAGACATTGGTTTTGTAATTAGTATCCAAGCATGTGCTTTATTCCAGAGGACCAGTCACACAGGATTATTTTTTCCCCCAAACTGCCCCCTGTAATTCAATTTTTCCCCCAAATATAATCAGTGGTGGAGAAAGTACCCAATTGTCATACTTGAGTAAAAGTAAAGATAAAAGTGAGTCACCCAGTAAAATACTACTTAAGTAAAAGTCTAAAAGTATTTGGTTTTAAATATACTTAAGTATCAAAAGTAAATGAAATTGCTAAAATATACTTAAGTATAAAAAATAAAAGTACAAATCATTTAAAATTCCTTATATTAAGCAAACCAGACGGCACCATTTTCTTGTTTTTTAAATGTACGGATAACTAGGGGCACGCTCCAACAGTCACACTGTTCAGTGAGTCCGCCAGATCAGAGGCAGTAGGGATGACGAGGGATATTCTCTTGATAAGTGTGTGAATTAGACAATTTTCCTGTCCTGTTAAGCATTCAAAATGTAACGAGTACTTTTGGGTGTCAGGGAAAATGTATGAAGTAAAAAGTACATACTTTTCATTAGGAATGTAGTAAAGTAAAAGTTGTCAAAAATATAAATAGTAAAGTAAAGTGCAGATACCAAAAAAAAAACGACTTTAGTAGTATTTTCAAGTATTTTTACTTAAGTACTTTACACCACTGAATATAATTGACTCTTATGATGGAAGCCTGGAGGTTTTTATTATAGGCGTGAAGATATTTCAACGTCATAGGCTACACTGATAACTCGTGCTTGGCTGCCAAATGTATAATGTCCCCATAATATTTAAATTGATGAAGTGTGATCATAATCATTATTTTAGTAATCCATGGTAGACGTCAATCCTAATAACAATGACCCCCATCCGGCTGATTTGAGCAGCTGAACCATATTTGCACTTGAGATGTGTTTCTAGGGAGTTTTTCCTAGCCTACATCTGCATTGCTTGCTGTTTGGGGTTTTATGATGGGTTTCTGTATAGCACTTTGTGACATCTGCTGATGTAAAAAGGGCTTTATAAATACATTTGATTGATTGATTGGTTAATGGATTAGAAAGTGAACTTGCCATTTCCAAAAAGTTTAGCGGGGATGCCCTGCTTTGCGATCTATTGCCTAGGACAGAGCTCTACAACCCTGTTCGTGGAGAACTACCATCCTGTAGGTCACTCCAACCTTAATCTAGCGCATCTGATTCAATAATTAGCTGGTTGATAAACTGAATCTGGTTAGTTAGAACTGGGGTTGGAGCGAAAACCTACAGGAAGATAGTTCTCCAGGAACAAGGTTGGAGAGCCCTGACCTAGGACATCAACAGCCAGCCAGGGTTTCATTAAATCAGTTATAGGCACAATACTTTTTATTGCACATTTGGGCCTAATTAAACTGATGCATTTGGCGATGTTCAATTTCAATTCTCTGGCACTATGAAGAATAGTTTACCAATCCTCATTGGTAGCCTAATATATCATTTTGGTGAATTTATGAGGCATTGCTAGACAAGACATAGCGAGATACAGATTACCAAAATATAGCCTATGCGCGTATTCCAACAGTCTGTCTGCCCCGATCCTCACTCTCCCTCGCCTGCTCTTTCTCTTTGCTATGAAAACCGCTAGTGTTTGGTCTTCGGTCTGTTGCGTGTAGAGGAGCTCAGCCTACTCATTGATAGCCTCTACTTTAGTGAACTTGTGCGAGACATTGCAAGCCAAGACATTTCGAAATACACAATTGCGATATCCTATATCTTTTGATTACCGATGCACGGTTCTGACTTTCTGCCTGGTGGCCGACATGGCTGTGCCTCTACAATATCCCTCGCTAGCTCGCTCTTTCTTTGCTGTGAAAGATGCGAGAGTTTGTTCTCGAAGTAGACAACCGCAACTAGTTTGCTCCGTTGCAAAAATACTGAATATTAAGAGTCGATTCTAAGCGGGATCGAAGCTTGACAGCTAGAAATGGGAGTCGACGGACAAGAAGTCGAGGAATCGATTATTTTGGAGTCGACTCCCCAACACTACTTTACTGACGCAACCAAATGCTTGGGAAACAGGACTAGGCGCGACAGGTAGCTAGCTAATCAAGAGAAACTGAACTAAACATGGTGACCGAGAGGTGAACGACACAGCAACATGGTCTTCGAAAGCGTGGTGGTAGATGTCCTAAACAGGTTTCTGGGGGACTACGTTGTGAACCTTGACAGCTCACAACTCAAGCTCGGGATTTGGGGAGGTAACTAACATTACTTTGACGATTCAGTGTTATGGTTAGCAAGACAAGGGACACACTATTTTCACGGCACTTCAATACGGAGTGATTTTCGATATCCCTGGCCCTTTTCTTAACCTTAACCTCAGTTTCCTAACCTGCTGTGTAAGTTCTCCTAACCTGCTACGAAAAAGTCACTGGTACTAGTATCGAAGTGCCGTGAAGAGTGTTTCCGAGCAAGACAAGGCTGGTTTGCTGAGGGCAAGTATTCCTACTATGCATGCTTGTTTGTGAACCAGGTTTTGTAGCCAACTGGCTAGTTAGCTATTATGGGGTTTTATTTGCTAGCTAGGTAGCTACGTCAGCTAGCCATCTTCCCAGGTTTGCTCGCAAGCCCTACCCAAAAAAGCCAACGTTGTTTACTTGGCTGGAGTCCAAGTGTGGTCACTTCTTCTTCTAATATGGTATAATGGCGTACGCTGTGGTCACGTCTTCTTATATGGTATAATGGCGTTCGTAACAATTAGGGGTGTGTTCGTAAATTCATCAGCTCTGGCACACTCTGTTCTGAAATCGGAGGAGATCGCAAGAGCGAATTTACGAACGCAACCTAGATGTGCATTCTGCCACCTACTGTGCGGGTGGATAATTTATTTATTTAAATTTTATTTAACAACATAAAATAAGATAAGTCAGTTAAGAACAAATTCTCATTTACAATGACGGCCTACCCCATCCAAACCCGGATGACGCTGGGCCAATTGTTGCAGACCTATTCGACTCCCTATCATGGCCTGGAACACAGCCTGGAATCGAACCAGGGTCTGTAGTGACGCCTCTAGCACTGAGATGCAGTGCCTTAGACCGCTGCGCCACTCGGGAACCCATAATAAGGATCCCAAAAAGTCAAAAAATGTGGGTAAAACACAATACCATACAAACTATCAAAAAATAAATTAACTAAGCAAAATCAACCTGCTTTTCTGTAAAATTCTAATCAGGTCCCAACGCAGGCTCAGAAGCCTCCTGTGAGGGTGGGACATTTGCTAGTGACAATAGTCCTTATAGTGCTTCTGCCGTGAAGTCTTGGAGCCAAAAAAACTTATCGGCTGCAGATATGATATCCAGCTTCTTGGACTTCTTAGACACTTGTGCTGTACAATTAATCACTGTGGCTATAAATGCCACAAAATCCACCTTATTCACAATGAGTGAATCCTGATCACTCCATTGACTGGTTGCAATGCATCCACCGCTATATCTTCAACACTGTTGTCTCTTTCCCCTTCGACTCTCTTCACCGCCTCCACATAGGAGAATCGTTGCGCAGATCCTTGACACCTCGACCTCCTTCACCTTAACAGGGCACTCAAGGAAGTCCGGACGACAAATTATAATATTGGACAATATTGGACAAAATTACACTCATTGGAGCCAATTACACTAACTGGAGTATCTGCCGCTGGCTGCTTCTAAGCTTTTTTCACTTGGATGTTTTTGCCAAAACATTGCTTACCTTTGTTAAACCAGCTAAACAGCTGCTCTTAGTGAAAAATGTGTTTGGAGTTACCTTTCTAGCTAATAGGCTATGTTAGAGTTAATTTTATTTAACAAAATAAGGTAAGTCAGTTAAGAACAAATTCTCATTTACAATGACGGCCAAACCCGGATGACGCTGGGACAATTGTGCGCCGACCTATTCGACTCCCAATCACGGCCTGGAACACAGCCTGGAATCGAACCAGGGTCTGTAGTGACGCCTCTAGCACTGAGATGTGTGGGGAGGTCAAAATAATGAGAAACTATCTACCATATCTATTCACTTCTCATTGCTATTATCATTCACCTGATGATAAGACAAGAAAATAACGTATGATGGGGGTTCCCTGGGTCGCCGGTTTGCCTGGAATGGGGTCCCTGGGCAAGAAAAGCTTGAAGACCCCTGGCTTAGACAACACACAACAAGCCTACTTCATGAGCTAGCTACTACTGCTAGAATCATTACATATTTTACACACAATATGGCTTAAGTTGAGGATTAGTCAGTGCCTTATTGCTTCTCAAATGATTGCATGTCAGTCTCCCTTAGCATAGCTAGGCTACACTTAGCTCTCGAAAACCTTTCTCTGTAGGGTTTTCAGCAGTTAGCTTCGCCCACGGCTGGCTCCATGTGAACTACAATCCCGACGCTGTGTTTTAACGTTTAGAAACATCAATAATCATCGCATTCGAAACAGTTTTCGAAACATATGCCCCTCATCTTTCATGTCAGCGAGAATGAATCTTTCAAATATAAAATATACACTTACTGTAGCAGATTTGCACAGATGGATACGCTGTGTGTGCCTCCAGCTGACAAACTACACTTCCGCTACTCTTCCTCCCCAGTTAAGCTTACACATAGGTGTTCGGAAGGTTGCTGGTTCGAACTATGGCTGATTTTAAGGCAAGTCCTCCAGGTCCTGGACGACTTACCTTAATAGAAGGAACCATGAATTCTGCTCTTTATCAGATAATTTTACAGGAGAATGTCAGGCCATCCGTCTGTGAGCTGAAGCTGAAGTACAGCTGGGTCATGCAGCAAGACAATGATCCAAAACACACAATCAAGTCTACATGAAAATGGCTAAAAAGCAACACATTTGAAGTTTTGGAATGGCCTAGTCAAAATCCAGGCCTAATCCCAATTGAGATGTTGTGGCAGGACTTGAAACGAGCAGTTCATGCTTGAAAACCCACAAATGTCGCTGAGTTAAAGCAGTTCTGCATGGAAGAGTGGGCCAAAATTCCTCCACAGCGACAAGAGTGATCAACAACTACAGGAAATTAAAGCAGTTCGGCATGGAGGAGTGGGCCAAAATTCCTCCACAGCGATGTGAGCGACTGATCAACAACTACAGGAAGCATTTGGTTTCAGTCATTGCACCTAAAGGTTGCACAACCAGAAATATATGATACTTGGAGTTAATAATTATTATAAGTCCAAGGCCTGACACCTTGCCAACAGACAGAGCACAAGATAACATAAGGTGCCGCTTGCCGATGTTTGTACAGTGAAATGAGGCAAAGTTAATTGTCAGCTTAGGCTCAACCCTATATGTTTCCAACCTCATGGTACTATGTATTTATTAGCATATATTCATGTAACAGTGCTTCTTGAATCTTTTTAAACCAATATGCCTTTTCCCCCTAGGTGATGCTGTGCTCAGAAATCTTGAAATAAAGGAAAATGCCTTGGTAGGTTTTACATGAATGGCTAGGCCTACTGCTAAACGCATCAGTTGTTAGTTGTTCATTATTTAGGTACATTCAAATTGTATTGTGCTGAATATTTTTGTTCTTGTTTCAGAGGCAACTTGACATTCCTTTTAAAGTAAGAGCCGGACATATAGGTAAGATTTGTCCGATGACTCTCAACCCAACACCTACCGTAACCCTATGACATTTACAATAGTCCCTCCCTCCCTCTTTCTCACTCTTCAACCTCTTACTATTTGTTCTCTCGCTCTGCTGTGTGTGTGTGTGGTTCTGTCAGGACGCTTGGAGCTGAAGATTCCATGGAAGAATCTGTACAACCAGTCAGTGGAAGCTACACTGGATGGAGTTTACCTGCTCATCGTGCCCACAGCCAGTGAGAACCTGACCTTATCACCGATACGCATGAACCCTAGCTGTAGTGTGTGTGTGTGTGCGTGTCTTTGCTTTTGTTAATGGGTAGCCTATGTCTTTGTGCATGTTTCAGGTATAAAGTATGATGCGGAGAAGGAGGAGAAACAGCTTCAGGAGGCTCGTCAGAGGGAGCTGCAGAGGATCGAAGAGACCAAACAGAAAGCAGCGAAACAAGGTCAGAGTTAATGTGTTAGTTACATTATTATACATTTTGAGTCTTTGTAAATAATGTATAGCTTCAAATGTGTATCTCACAGACTGTCAGTCAGTGTTTACATTTCCCCAACCCCACCCCTTGGCGGGGCTGCCTTTTGGGGTAAAACACAGACTCAGGACTGTGACTTTAATGCATGTACTGTTATCATATTCATTGGTGCCACAGAAAACCCTGCACTTGAGAAGCAGGACACCTTTGTGGAGAAACTGGTGACGCAGGTGATCAAGAACCTCCAGGTGAAGATCTCCAACATCCACATCCGCTATGAGGATGATGTGAGTATTCTGCCTAGTGTACTATAGTAGTACTACAGTACTAGAACTATGTATATTACTACTGTGTTGCATTACTGTACGTTTCTCTCTCTCCTCTTATCTCTCCTCTTGTCTCTCTCTCTCAGGTCACCAATCCCAATTGCCCATTATCATTTGGAATGTCACTACAGAACCTCAGCCTTCAGGTAATGTGTGTCGCCTTTGCTTTGGTTTTGTTATGGTTGTGGTCAGACCTTGAAACAGTATCAAGTAACTTCTCAACCCCAAAACTGTGTGACCCCACAGACAGCAGATGAGAACTGGAAACCTTGTCTCTTGAATGAGAAAGCCAAGCTGTTTTTCAAGGTAGAGTATTCTTTACAGCAATGGTTATACTGTAGATTAGTTTGACATACATTATGACACTGTTATACTGTCAACAGCATTCTAAGCTGTTTTCTGTTGTGCTTTTTCCTCTCCTCAGCTTGTCCAGTTGAACAATCTCTTTGCCTACTGGAACGTGAACGCAACGCTGTACTCTAATCACATGCCAGATGAGGCCCTGGTGAGTGACCGTGTCATCATTCAGCGCCGTTGCTGAGCGTTGAGTCTCTTAAGTGAGAGTGATGTCTATCTATGACGTCTAATTAAGTGTCTGTTCCTGTCTGTCGTTTCCACAGCGATGCCTCCAGAACAGCATGGACATCTACAGTTCCACCCCCATGAAACACGATTTCAGTGAGTGTGTCGCCTAGTCGATATAGGGGTGTGACATCATTCATCGTCTGGATCAGTCTTTTACATATATATATATTTTTAGTCATTTAGCAGACGCTCTTATCCAGAGCGACTTACAGTTAGTGAGTGCATACATTTTTTTATACTGTCCCCCCGTGGGAATCGAACCCACAACCCTGGCGTTGTAAGCGCCAGCCAACTCTACCAACTGAGCTACACGGGGCCACGTGTCAGTCTTGATATTCATGTAGCCATTCACCTGCTACAGGGAATCAAATCAGTCATTTGAGTGTATTGTAATCAAATACTTTTTCCCATTACTTAAACCCACTGTTGAATTGTTGTTTATCCTTATTAACCTAATTTTCCTGTTCAATGTTGGCAGTTTTTTGTCCGATAACGGCCAATGCGAAGCTGTGCATGAACCCCCGGTCAGACGTGAACTTCTCCTCTCCCAAGGTGGACTTGGTGGTCAACCTGAGAGAGGTGGCTGTGGAGCTCAACAGGCCACAGGTGAGACTGGGAGAGAGAGACCATGAGAGAGGGAGTGAGAAAGGGCTACATTTTCTTTGAGCAAAAGAGCACATTTGTGCCCCCCAAATATAATCTGCATTGTGATTTCAGTTGAAACCTTTCTTCAACAGTGTGCATAATAAGGAGGGTGGCTATTATTTAACCACTGTGAAGGACACTGATGCTTCCGATTTACACAATTATGCTACCCCGTCTATTTGAAATGTTACAGTATCTTTTTTTCACAGATCACCCAGAGTTAGAATTTTAGTGTCACCCAGAGTTAGAATTTTAGTGTTACCCAGAGTTAGAATTTTTACCCAAAGTCTGGCTTATTTCCCTCTGTCTTCTTCGTTGACGCCTGAACTCTGACCCCTTCCCTCTCTCCAGTATGTCAGCATTCTGGAGCTACTGGGCTCGGTGGATATGATGTCACGCAACCTGCCGTACAGGAAATACCGTCCGCAAGTCCACGTGCACACCAACGCCTACATATGGTAAGCACTCACACATTTGTTTCTTATACAAAAAAAAAACTAAAGCCTTTTTCTCTTGATGTATTGATGACAATTGTGGTTATTGTTAATGTTTAGACGGTGAATGATAATTGTGTCATGTTGCATGCCACCCAGTATAAGATTATTAGACACATTTTTTCCAATCAATTGAGTTACAGTGAAGTACACAGACTGGTGCTATAGTGACTGTCACTCTGCTTGTGTTTTTCATCCAGGTGGCAGTATGTGATTACGGGCATCATGGAGGTGGACGTGAAGCCACGGCTGCACATGTGGTCGTGGCAGTGCATCCGCTGCCACCGACAGACAGTCAAGCGTTACAGAGCGCTCTACAAGTCCAAGATCACCAACAAGAAGCCCACTGAGAAGCTGCTCAGGGAACTGGAGGTGTGTGGAGATCAGGGTCATGTTCATTAGGCACCAAATGGAAGAAAACTGACTGAAAACAGGGAGGGACTACCTGGACTTGTCCAATATGAAGCACACATTAAAATGTTCCATTGCAAAAGGTTTTGAAACATTTTCCGTTGCCTTCCCTAAAGAGTGCAACCCAGACCTGCGTTGAAATAGTATTTTTTTCCTTTCCAAAACTTGAGCAGTGCTTGATTGAGCTTGCCTGGCCGTAATTGGACCAATGGAATATTCTCCAAAGTGCAAACCTTGCCCATCTGGCACTCCGGGCAGGCTCAATCAAGCGCTCAAAGTATTTTAAAAGAAAACAAAATAATCTTTGAACCCAGGTGTGGTGGAGATTTAGAAGGCCTCCTCCTCCCTTGCTCGCAGAGCTGCAACCCCAGTCTTTTTCTCTACTCTGCTGCATTGATTGATGAACATTAAGTAATTGATGAAGTAATAATTGACGGATTGCCACAACGGTCCGGGAACTGTTCTAATGGATCCATCTTTCCCTCCATGTGCCCAGGAGACTGAGCGGACTCTGGATATCTTTAACATCACGCTGGCCAGGCAGCAAGCTGAGATGGAGGTACGGATTGAGCTATCTGTTGAATTATTCCTAGCTAACTATCTTTCTTCTCTGCATCTACTGTCCTGTCTGTCCGTCAACTAACTCATTTGTTCAAAATGGCAGTAAAGCATGACTGAAATAACCGTACTTAGTCACACTGCCATAGCGTAACCACCAGTGCAACACGTAGTCACAGTCTAACTAACAATAGTTCCAGTTAGTGGTTGTGGTTGTGGCTGAGCCGTTATGTGTAGACTGTGACCGGCATTGGTTGGTTGTTCCAGGCGAACAAGGCAGGTCTGCGTATCTTTCGTCCGGGGGTGGAGGAGGAGGAATCTCAGGGCTGGTTGGGCTGGATGTGGTCCGGCTGGTCAGGAGATGGCGGCACCAAGGCCAAGGAGGTCAAGACCGGAGGTGAGACTGCCCGCGTACCCAATCACCACGCTCTATTTTGTACATACAGTGAGGGAAAAAAGTATTTGATCCCCTGCTGATTTTGTACGTTTGCCCACTGACAAAGACATGATCAGTCTATAATTTTAATGGTAGGTTTATTTGAACAGTGAGAGACAGAATAACAACAAAAAAATCCAGAAAAATGCATGTCAAAAATGTTATAAATTGATTTGCATTTTAATGAAGGAAATAAGTATTTGACCCCTCTTCAAAACATGACTTAGTACTTGGTGGCAAAACCCTTGTTGGCAATCACAGAGGTTAGACGTTTCTTGTAGTTGGCCACCAGGTTTTCACACATCTCAGGAGGGATTTTGAGCCACTCCTCTTTGCAGATCTTCTCCAAGTCCTTAAGGTTTTGAGCCTGACGTTTGGCAACTCGAACCTTCAGCTCCCTCCACATATTTTCTATGGGATTCAGGTTTGGAGACTGGCTAGGCCACTCCAGGACCTTAATGTGCTTCTTCTTGAGCCACTCCTTTGTTGCCTTGGCCGTGTGTTTTGGGTCATTGTCATGCTGGAATACCCATCCACGACCCATTTTCAATGCCCTGGCTGAGGGAAGGAGGTTCTCACCCAAGATTTGATGGTACATGGCGCCGGCCTTTCGTCCCTTTGATGCGGTGAAGTTGTCCTGTCTCCTTAGCAGAAAAACACCCCCAAAGCATAATGTTTCCACCTCCATGTTTGACGGTGGGGATGGTGTTCTTGGGGTCATAGGCAGCATTCCTCCTCCTCCAAACACGGCGAGTTGAGTTGATGCCAAAGAGCTCGATTTTGGTCTCATCTGACCACAACACTTTCACCCAGTTCTCCTCTGAATCATTCAGATGTTCATTGGCAAACTTCAGACGGGCCTGTATATGTGCTTTCTTGAGCAGGGGGACCTTGCGGGCGCTGCAGGATTTCAGTCCTTCACGGCGTAGTGTGTTACCCATTGTTGTCTTGGTTACTATGGTCCCAGCTGCCTTGAGATCATCGACAAGTTCCTCCCGTGTAGTTCTGGGCTGATTCCTCACCGTTCTCATGATCATTGCAACTCCACGAGGTGAGATCTTGCATGGAGCCCCAGGTCGAGGGAGATTGACAGTTATTTTGTGTTTCCCCATTTGCGAATAATCGCACCAACTGTTGTCACCTTCTCACCAAGCTGCTTGGCGATGGTCTTGTAGCCCATTCCAGCCTTGTGTAGGTCTACAATCTTGTCCTTGACATCCTTGGAGAGCTCTTTGGTCTTGGCCATGGTGGAGAGTTTGGAATCTGATTTGATTGCTTCTGTGGACAGGTGTCTTTTATACAGGTAACAAGCTGAGATTAGGAGCACTCCCTTTAAGAGTGTGCTCCTAATCTCAGCTCGTTACCTGTATAAAAGACACCTGAGAGCCAGAAATCTTTCTGATTGAGAGGGGGTCAAATACTTATTTCCCTCATTAAAATGCAAATCAATTTATAACATTTTTAACATGCGTTTTTCTGGATTTTTTTGTTGTTATTCTGTCTCTCACTGTTCAAATAAACCTACCATTAAAATTATAGACTGGTCATTTTTTTGTCAGTGGGCAAACGTACAAAATCAGCAGGGGATCAAATACTTTTTTCCCTCACTGTACATTCTTATTAATTGAGACATTTCACATTTGATACAGGGTCTCACTGTGACTAATAAATAAACGCAGAATGTCTGTTAGTTCCAGCATCCTGCCACAGCTGCAATCTTTTTGGCTGTGCACTTGCACCCTGAAATAGGCCTTGGCTAGCGAAATGCCATTGTAGGCCTACCAGGTACAAACCTAGCTACAAAAGTCGACAATGCCAAAACAAGGTGCTTGAAAAGACCCCATACTGATATTGAGGTGGAGAATTCCTGTCAATCCACTGCGCATGTTGTTCCTCGGACTAGTCCTTTAACGTCCATTGTCCAGGAGACTGTCGCTCCTTCCCGGAGAATCCTCTGACACAGGTGAAGCACGTTTGGAGGACCGCATCAGCATATGCGTTCTGAACCAACCAAACATTTATTTTATTGGGAGAAATCACCAGCAAATCAAAGTTGTTACTTTGCAAAGAGATGCATGGGCACCATTAGAGGAGTGTGTCATTGGATTTAGACCAGGGGTGTCAAACTCATTTTAGCTCAGGGGCCACATGGAGGAAAATCTATTCCCAAGTGGGCCGGACCGGAAAAATCATGGTGTGTATATATAACTTAAAAACAACAACTTCAGATTGTTTTCTGTGTTTTAATACGATCAACATACAACATAAAGCTGGAGCCTGAGGACAGTGTGTCCAGAATAGTACAAGCACAACATCACTATTAATCATAAAACACGTCAAGTTTATTTGAAAATTCTAAAGAAAAAGAACACACAAACACACAATGCCTCAGTGATTAACATAACTGTTTCACAGATCACAGAACTATATCAGGGTGTCATTTCTCAGGCAGAAATGTAGATAAAAATAATGAAATCCTGTTCCCCAAACAAGTGCAAGAACCACAGAGTCAAGAATAGGTTAAATATACAAATAAAATAAAATCAATTAAAAACAATAGCACATCAACATAAAAACATATAAACATAAATCTGAAAGCGTTGCTCAAACTCCCGTAACAGTCCCGTTATTTTATCTTTGAACCGCTTCATGTCTGCCATATGTTGGGTCGCGCACACATTTTTCAGACAGGGGAAGTGAGCTGCATCACCACCGGCAAGTTGCGTCTCCCACAATGACAGCTTCAACTTGAAAGAACGTATGCTGTCATAATACTGCGTGACAACTTTGTTGCGCCCTTGCAGCTGTTTGTTCAAGTTATTCAGGTGCTCTGTAACATCCACCATAAATGCAAGGTCCTGCATCCATTCTGCGGAATGAAATTCTAACACTGGTTTGCCCTTTTCTTCCATGAACTGTTCAATTTCTTCTCGTAAATCAAAGAAACGCCTCAGCACAGCACCTCGGCTTAACCATCTTACCTCAGTGTGGTATGGCAGGCCATAGATGTGGTCTTTCTCTCTGAGAAGGCTGTCAAACTGACGGTGATTCAGGCTTCTGGATCGGATGAAATTAACAGTTTGGATGACCACCTTCATGACGTTATCCATCTTTAATGACTTGCAACACAAAGCCTCCTGGTGCAAAATACAGTGAAAAGTCAAAAAATCACGTCCTCCATTTGCAGATTGCACTTTCTCTCTGAACTTTGTCACAACGCCTGCTTTTTTCCCGATCATTGAGGGCGCACCATCTGTAGCCAGGTTGACAGCGCGGGACCAGTCCACTCCGACCCTGTCCAGCGCGCCGACGAGTGCGGTAAAAATATCAGCTGCTGTCGTTGTATCTGTCATCGGCACCAACTCCACGAACTCCTCGGTGACGGTCAATGTGTCATCATCTCCGCGGATGAAAAAATGGCCAGTTGTGCAACATCTGTAATGTCCGTGCTTTCATCAATTGCAACCGAAAACGCAATAAATGACTTTACTTTTTGCTTCAACTGGCTGTCCAAATCCACTGAAAGATCGGAAATCCTGTCTGCAACTGTGTTTCTTGTCAGGCTGATATTTGCAAAAGCCTGCCGCTTTTCAGGGCACACAATCTCCGCTGCCTTCATCATGCATGTTTTTACAAATTCACCCTCACTAAATGGTTTTGAAGCCACTGCGATTTCATTAGCAATGAGGTAGCTAGCTTTCACTGCAGCGTCACTGATGTCTCGGCTGTGAGTAAACACAGACTGCTGTTTCTTCAGACCCGCCAACGGTTCATTCACCTTCTCTCATCTCCGCTGTCCTTGAAAGTTGTCATATTTGTCGGCATGAAGACTCGCATAGTGGCGACGAAGGTTATATTCTTTCAGCACTGCAACATGCTCTGAACACACCAAACATACAGCTTTCCCATTCAATTCCGTGAATAAATAGGATGACCATTTTTCTTGGAACACTCTGCACTCTGCGTCCACTTTTCTCTTTTTTGACAGAGACATATTGGGGCAATGAGGGTGCCAAAGCACATAATGTTAAAAGTAGAAGCCGTAATAAATATCGCGGGCAAAACAAAGTAGCTCATTGGCTGCACGTGCTTGACCTACTTGCTCTGCCCCGGTATAAACAGTTTGCTCGCTTAACACAATTGCTATTGCGCCATCCAGTGGACGCAATTGGAACAGCAGTTTATTTTATAGACAAATTGCAGCGCATTTCTATACTTTACAAAAAATGTTTTTTATTTTTTTATTTTATTTTATTTTAATCATCTCGCGGGCCGAATTAAACCCGTTTGCGGGCCTGATCCGGCCCATACGTTTGACACCCCTGATCTAGATGATAAGGCGCTCCTGATGATGATGTTTTAATGTTTTTGTGAATCATTTTGTGAAGCTAGACAAAATGTATGGACAATGACATTTGTTTTCTTTATTCTCCTCAGCTTTTGGTGAGTTTATGACTCCTGCCGAGAAGGCCAAACTCTACACTGCCATTGGCTACAGTGAGATAGCTGTCAATCACAACCTGCCAAAGAATGTGAGTGGCTACTGTATATTTCCCACACATCGTAGTGCAGTACAACAATCCCTGGTGTCTTCCAAAAGAGATGTTTGAATATGTGGAGATAGAAAGATAACCCAGGACACTATTCACAATCTCTCTTTTCTCTTTCTGATTTTGTTTTTGCAGTTTGAGGACATTAAGATTAATTTCCACATGAAGAGTATGTCTTTCTCAGTGAAAGACAACAAGGATCAAAATGAAATCCTCAAACTCACAGTTGAAAACCTGAAATCCATGCTGACCCAGAGGCCCGGAGCAAAAGCCATTAAGTACGCACAGTGCACCCTCTGGGGTGTGTTCGTTGAGGTGGTTTCACACAGAAATTAATAGAGCTGACGTGATGCCCAATTATACATGACAGAATATCATATCTGTTCTACAAAATATATTTATATCGGTAACTCTGTATGCTTGTGAACAGACCCTGCGTTTTAATACTTTCCCCCTCCTTCCCTGTTGTAGTGCTTTATCAATGGGATATTGTTGCCAGGTTTTGTTATTGTGCCATATCCAAGAACAAACTTGAACAGCTGACAACACTATTTTGCGATGCTTTGTTTGTTGGTATCTCTCTCTTTCACCATCTCTCTCTTTCACCTTCTCTCTCTTCCACCTCCTCTCTCTTCCACCTCCTCTCTCTTCCACCTTCTCTCTCTTCCACCTCCCCTCTCTTCCACCTTCTCTCTCTTCCACCTTCTCTCTCTTCCACTGCTTCCTCCACTCTCTTCCCTCCACTCTCTTCCACTTCCTCTCTTCCCTTGGTTCTGATGCTGCTGTTGTTGTTTGCTGCTCTCAGGCTGTCGGCCCAGCTTAGTCTGTTTGAGGTGACAGGACTGGCCAATAATCGGCCGGCGCCCACGCTGCTGTCATCGAGGAAGGCTGCCACGGTAACGGGGACCCCCTTGCTGGACATCCTGTTTGAGACAAACCCTCTGGATGAGAGTGCTGACCAGCGGCTCCGTGTCGAGTCCCAGCCTCTGGAGATCATCTATGACGCTGTTAGTGTTTGTGTGTGCCTGTTTACATGACTGTATGCCAGTTGTTCCTCGGTTCAATCAGGCATGGAGTTGTTAGAACGAAGTTCGCACCCCCTGTTGCTGTGTGTGTTTGCATGCGCGTGTGTAACAACATGGGTACCTGTTTCTCCCTCCGGCAGGTGACGGTGAACAGCATGTCTGCGTTCTTCTTGCCGCCTGATGACCTCCAGCTAGACGAGCTAACCAACGCCACTCTCATGAAGCTGGAGCAGTTCCGAGACCGCACCTCCACAGGTCAGAGCCCCGCCTCTAGCGCTGACAGGCCACACTCCTGGGCTGAAACACAGCACTGATGGATTTTTTACATGTGCTGCAGGCCCAAATATAGAGATCTATTCTATTAATTTATGTTCTATGGACATGGAGGTTGGTGAGATAACCTTATGATTAATCAGCCAGAATATAAGCCTCATTGACCTCAATCTCCAATCCATACTTCCTACTGACACACACACCCCTTGCCTTTCATATCCTATATTATGTAAGAACATGTTGTAGTATGCTGACCATTATATGGTGTTGTCTGCAGGGCTGATGTACGTGATTGAGACCCAGAAGGTTCTGGATCTGAACGTCAACCTCATGGCCTCCTATGTGATCGTGCCCCAAACCGGGTTCTACGACTCCACTCAGAACCTCATGCTATTGGACCTGGGTCACTTCAAGGTAAGTCACTTCAATTGGCACAGCATGCGCGTTTGTGTAGAGAGAGCGGTTCGATCTGACTTGAGTAAGTGAGAGACGATGTACGGAAAAATTGAGAACTGTGATTGGTCCTATCATGTTGCTAAAGGCAACCACTGAGCAGACTCAACTTGCCCGACTGTTTAGTTTACTAGCCCCGGGAAGCCAAACCCTGTCTAATGAACAGGACCTCACCCAGGCGTTCTATGCCGGGGGGTTTCAAACTGGGGTCCATGAATTTGAGCTTTGTTTTGGAAAAACTATTTTTGGTATTTTTGTATGTGAAAATTATTAGATTATGAATATCGCTAGCTGCAACAGAATACCATCATGGAAACCATTTTTATGTCTCTGCATCCAGTATGAAGGAAGTTAGAGGTAGTTTCACGAGCTAATGCTAACTAGCGTTAGCACAATGACTGGAAGTCTACAGGAACAGTTGGCATACTAGCTGTTCCTGTTCATCCGACTCTGGGGAAGTAGATAAAGGGCTTTATTGCCTGGGCGAGGGTCCCTGGGCAAGAAATGATTGAAAATCCCTGTTCTATGCCATTGTCTTGTGTTATCAGGTGTCTAGTCTGAGCAGAAAGGGGCTACCCCAGCTTTCTGTAGGGAGCAGTACTATACAGGACATCATGTCCCAAGCCTACGACAGCTTCGACATCAAGCTCAGCAGCCTACAGTTCCTCTACAGCAAGCCAGGTACACACACACACGGACAAAGGCACACACACACACACACAATTATCTGCCCAAAATGTGTCATGTGACGCAACTACGCAGGGAAGCCGTTTTCTGTAGCTTATTGCGTTCTTGCGTTGCGTACATAGGTAGACTATAGCTAAATAAGGCTTAACAGTGGTTGTTGTGTTGTGTATTAGACGGGAACTGGAGGAAAGCCCGTAAGCTGAAGCAGTCGGCCCTCCACATCCTGGAGCCTGTCGATGTCAAGGTGGTGTTCAGCAGAGCCATGGTGGTCACAGACTCACGCATGCCCAAGTAAGAGGGAGGAGAGAGGGCTTGGGGGAGAGGGGTGGAGGGAGAGGGGTGGGTGGAGGGTGGGGAGAGGGGTGGGTGGTGGGGTGGAGGGAGAGGGGTGTGTGCATGGAGGGAGGGAGGGAGGGAGAGGGGTGGGTGCGATGCCTTTTTTGTACTACCACTCTGTGTAATGGTGTTTGTCAAAAAGCTGGTCAGATAAATTATATTGTGTGTGTGTGTTTGTCAGGTTTAAGATCTTCGGGGAGATGCCTCTCTTGTCTCTGAGGATCTCTGATGATAAGGTGCGGGCCGTGCTGGAACTGATTGACAGTATCCCACTGCCGGCGAGCAGGCCGGCCCCGCGCAGCACCAACATACACTCTACACCTAAGGTACTAACTACTGGGAGTCTCTCTGCCTGTCTGTGGGTTGACTCTCTGCCTGTCTGTGAGTTAACTCTCTCTGCCTGTCTGTGGGTTGACTCTCTCTGCCTGTCTGTGGGTTGACTCTCTCTGCCTGTCTGTGGGTTGACTCTGTCTGTAATGTCGGTTGTTTTGTGTGTAGATAGATTTCTATTGGGTTGTGTGCGTGTCTAATTTCTGCTTGTTTTTCTTCCGCAGGCTCCAAAGCAGTCGTACACCGCTCAGCTAACCCCCAGGCAACCAACCATGGCTGAACTGCGCAACTCCCTCATATGGGAATCAGGTGAGAGACATGCACACACACATACAGCCCTGTGAACACATTACAAATGGATCTCTGTACTTTACACACAACTGTGATCATGACAGACGTTAGTGTGGCATTAGCATTTTAAGTGTGTGTGTGTACAGGCTCAGAGGAGGACCTGTTCTACGATGCTCCCAGCTCTCCTATAGACGACCATCCGTTCTTCCCCGACAACATGCCCAGCCCTCTGCAGCGCTCCGACTCGGTCAAGAGGAGAGGTCTGGTCAAGAAAGACCCCAAGAAGAACATGACCGACTTCCTCATGACGTTTGAGATCAACAAGGTATGCTTAACCTAATCTACATCTGTGTGTGAGAGAGGACTTAAACACTTAATTTAGTTTTCACTCTTGATTGCTAGTAAAGTGGCGTGTGTGTATTGATTGCTAGTGAAGCGGCGTGTGTGTATTGATTGCTAGTGAAGCGGCGTGTGTGTATTGATTGCTAGTGAAGCGGCGTGTGTGTATTGATTGCTAGTGAAGCGGCGTGTGTGTATTGATTGCTAGTGAAGCGGCGTGTGTGTATTGATTGCTAGTGAAGCGGCGTGTGTGTATTGATTGCTAGTGAAGCGGCGTGTGTATATGTGTGTACTCCCTTCTTCTGCTGTCTAGCTGTCTGTTCAGCTGTGTCGTCTGTCTGGAGGCCAGGAGGTCACAGTGTTACACCTGGGCACTGAGCGGCTGGGCTCTGAGCTAAAGCTACGTACCTTCGACATGACATCTAACACTTTCCTACGAGAGATCTGCCTAGAGTGCTCAGAGTATATGGGTAGGTGAGGGAGTGGGTGGGAATTGTTGTCTCTTAAAGGTAGGGCTGTCAACTAACTGATCCAGAAATTCACAATCGAAAATGTATCTTCAAAATGTCAATATTCGATTAATATTGTAATCTAATTTGCATAAATGTACATAAATATGTAAATGTCAAAATATGGGTCATATGCGCCTTCGCTACAGCCTTCTCCATACCAGCTCTGACATTAGGGGAGACGCCAGAAAAGGTAGCCAAACTTGAATGTGCCTGTTTATGCCATTGAACCCAGCATTTCTCTCCTATTCTGTTTGTTTTTCAAAATAACTTTGTTCCGTTGTCCACTGCATTCAAAGGCAGTAATCTAGTAATGTTTGATAGCAACCCATTCTAGTTGTTGCATCTTTTAGATCACCCCTTTTTCTACGCTTTTAACATATGTGTCACATGAAATGGCTTGCATCTGGTGTGTTTTCAGAATGGTGGTTTTCCCGCAATTGCATTTTTGGAACATTAGCAGGACGGCTCTGTGCACCGTGCTGCGCTTGGAATGTGAATAGATTATTGTCTAGATCATTATAAGATAAACATTGTGATATGCTGCATTGTCATTGTTGGTGGTTGTATGGGTGTGGCATGTCTGCAGACATTTCTGTGTGGTTTTGGTGTGATATGATTTTCTGGTTTTATATTCTTGTCCAGATTCAGAGGAGAAGAAAGTGCACCTGATCACCACTCTAGACAACACAGAGGAGGACCTCCTCACATTGGAGTACACTAAGGTACACACATACACACACACACACACACACACACACACACACAGTCAACGCTGTCTTCATCCAATATAGATTAACAGCAGAGCAGGTCTAAAAGCTTCAATGTCTCTTTCAGGCTGATAAGAACGGGCCAGAATTCAAGTCTCAGTACAAGAACACTGAACAATCAGTAAAGGTAAGGTCTTACAATACAACTGTGTTAACCCACATTTGGAACTTCAACATGATGTTGATGGTGTGTTTGTGATGTCTCTGTCTCAGGTGAACTTCTCGTCTCTGGACATACACCTGCACACGGAGGCTTTGCTCAACGCCATGAACTTCCTGAACGGCCTCCTCCCCCCGACCAAGGAGGCGGCACCCAGCCAGGAGGAGCTGCCCACCATCCCAGAGGAGGACGAGGGAGAGGGAAAGGGGGAGGAGGAATCAGCCGTGGCAAAAATAACATGTATGTAAATTATCAGTTTCATGGAATCCATTCTGGTTACTGGAACTAAGACTTTTCCATTGTTGATATTGATTAGAATTTCATGAATCAAGTTAGTCGAAAGTGGAAGAGACTTTGGTTAGGTAATATACCTCCTTTATATTTGTTGCATGTAGAGATATTGAGTAGACACGTGTCCTCCATGTATTCTCCTTCTAATACGTAGCTAGCTAAACCAAATGTAAATTCTCTGCCATTGTATGGACCACTTGACGTTTTATGTATTGTGATGCAAACAAAATCACCTTCACATCAAAGCCTCTTTTAAGTTTGGACGAAGGAACAACTCTTTCATAAATGTCTCTCTTCCCCACTCTCCTCAGCTTCTAAGAAGTCAAAGTTTGAGGACGTAGTGAATTTGCACATCAGAGCTGATCTCAACTGTCTGAAGGTTTTCATCAGAGGCCAGAGCCACAGGATAGCAGAGATCAGCATTGAGGGTAACACACGTCACCGTCCGCAACACACGTCCGCAACACACGTCACCGTCCGCAACACAAGTCACCGTCCGCAACACACGTCACCGTCTGCAACACAAGTCACCGTCCGCAACACACGTCTGCAACACACGTCACCGTCCGCAACACACGTCACCGTCTGCAACACAAGTCACCGTCCGCAACACACGTCTGCAACACACGTCACCGTCCGCAACACACGTCACCGTCCGCAACACACGTCACCGTCCGCAACACACGTCACCGTCTGCAACACAAGTCACCGTCCGCAAACACACGTCACCGTCCGCAACACACGTCACCGTCCGCAACACACGTCACCGTCCGCAACACACGTCACCGTCCGCAACACACGTCTGCAACACAAGTCACTGTCCGCAACACACGTCACCGTCCGCAACACACGTCACCGTCCGCAACACACGTCTGCAACACACGTCACCGTCCGCAACACACGTCACCGTCCGCAACACACGTCACCGTCCGCAACACACGTCACCGTCCGCAACACACGTCTGCAACACACGTCACCGTCCGCAACACACGTCACCGTCCGCAACACAAGTCACCGTCTGCAACACAAGTCACCGTCCGCAACACACGTCCGCAACACACGTCACCGTCCGCAACACACGTCACCGTCCGCAACACACGTCACCGTCCGCAACACACGTCACCGTCCGCAACACACGTCACCGTCCGCAACACACGTCTGCAACACAAGTCACCGTCCGCAACACACGTCTGCAACACAAGTCACCGTCCGCAACACACGTCTGCAACACAAGTCACCGTCCGCAACACACGTCTGCAACACAAGTCACCGTCCGCAACACACGTCTGCAACACAAGTCACCGTCCGCAACACAAGTCACCGTCCGCAACACACGTCTGCAACACAAGTCTGCAACACAAGTCACCGTCCGAAACACACGTCCGCAACACAAGTCACCGTCCGCAACATACGTCCGCAACACAAGTCACCGTCCGCAACACACGTCCGCAACACAAGTCACCGTCCGCAACACACGTCCGCAACACAAGTCACCGGCAACACACGTCCGCAACACAAGTCACTGTCCGCAACACACGTCCGCAACACAAGTCACCGCCCGCAACACACGTACGCAACACAAGTCACTGTCCGCAACACAAGTCACTGTCCGCAACACAAGTCACTGTCCGCAACACAAGTCACCGTCCGCAACACAAGTCACCGTCCGCAACACAAGTCACCGTCCGCAACACACGTCCGCAACACAAGTCACCGTCCGCAACACACGTCTGCAAGAGCTGCATGCATGAATTATGAAATTCCATACAATAATGTGTGTTTGTGTGATTAGATGTGTGGACAGGGCACGCGTACACAGATGATAATGATGCTAGTGCCACCTTGTGGTGAACATGAAGAAATACTCAGGCCACTGATTTTCTCCTATTGGTTCTGGAACTGATATGAACACAGCCTTGCAATAGAGATCTGGCATTTACAAAATTACACTGATTGGCCCAAGGGGGGCGCTATAGTAATCAACTGAAATTCGTTATTCGTTATTCGTGGGCACGACATATTTACTGTAGCCTTGTTCTAGACTGGTTCTAGACCTGCTCCTCAGTGTTCTGCCTCTTTGTTCTATGTTCCAGGCCTGGTGTCGGAGGTGCTGATGAGGAGAAAGGCGGTGGAGGTTCTGGCCAACCTGAAGAACATAGTCATCCTGGATTGTGATGAGGAGGCTCTGTACAAGCAGGTAGCTTTTACTCAATGTTTAACTCGTTTTCCATTGTGTGCCCTAACTAACACGACCCAGCTGTCATTGACTAGCCATACTCACAAGGCTCACTCATGGCCTCCAGTATCCAAAAAGGATCAAATGAAAACTTCACCAACCAAAATGTGAACAAACACCAAAACCCAATGTCACCACATTTTTGCCATCTTGTTTTACTTTAGAGATGTTATTTTCCCAGTCAAGGGGCAACATTCACGAGAAATTATGATTGTTGTTTTTGCTTTCTACTGGTGTTTTTCTAATGTGTATATTTGTACGGCGTCTGCGTCCTAGTGTGTGTCCATAGCTGATAAGGAGGTGTTTGCTTTCCGCATGGTGAACTACACAGACGCCACTGAGGGCGACGCCTATCTAGACATGGGTAAAGTGGACACCAGCATCACCCTGATGGTGGGCTGCATCCAGGTCATCTTCCTCAACAAGTTTGTCTCCTCCATCCTGGTAAGAGACACGCCACCATTTCTCTTAACTCCACCTAACTATCACCAATCCTTTTCTGTGCTTCAAAAATTAAGTTACCAACAACACTTTTCCAGGGTGTCGAAAACCATGGCCTTACTTGTAGTACCGGTACCAAAATGCCCCAGAACCGACCAAGCCTAATCACATTCGGTGCCCTTTTTCGGTTCTGGATTGTCCTACGTCATATGACCATCGATGAGCATTTTGTAACGTGACTGCTCTTTGTCCTCCTCCTCATTCATCTCCCTCTCCCCCAGGCCTTCATCAACAACTTCCAGGCGGCCAAGGAGGCCCTGGCTGAGGTGACTGTGCAGGCAGCGGAGAAGGCAGCCACGGGGGTGATGGAGCTGGCTGAGCGCAGCACGCGCATCTCTCTGGATGTAGACTTCAACGCTCCTCTTGTCTTCCTGCCGCAGTCCTCCTCCTCCACCAACGTCATTGTGGCTGACCTCGGCATGGTCACGGTCAAGAACTGCTTCGCCTTGGTCGACTCCCAGGTGCATGTCAAGATCCCCCCCATCATGGACACCATGACCGTGGGCCTCAGTGACCTCAAGATGTACAGGTGAGACAGTACAGGGTCGCTGGTAAGGCACACCAGTAGTCAGGCAATTCTGTAGACGTACATGGATCGGAATTAAACCTCATGGATTCAGTTTTTTTTTAAGTGAACGGATGATTTCATTTGTTCACAGGGATGGGAAGTGTGTATTGATAGTAGACATGTTTCTGTGTGTTTCTATTACTTTTGCATATCTGGTCCAACCCCGGATGTGCAGTGAATCAGAACCTGTAAAGCCATTTGTTTGTTGTTTGATTGTCCAGAACCACCTTTGAGAAGGGGAGGTTTCAGGGGGAGATCCAACTTCTGAAGCCGGTCAACCTTGACCTGTCAATCCAGAGGAATCTGTCGGCCTCCTGGTACCACAGCATCCCCGACATAAAGATCACTGCCCACCTCAAACCTATGAATGTGAGTGAATGTGTCAGTGGTGTCTGTTATAGTTAAAGCCAACTCTCAATGAACAAGAAATATTAGTATGAAATTATTGTTGTTGATACATCTGTGTAACGGTGTGTGTGTGTGTGTTTGTCTTACTAGCTGATCCTGAGTCAGGATGACATGACGATGGTGTTGAGGACTCTGGGTGAGAACCTGTCAGAGACGTCAGATGCTGCTTCCCCCCCTCCTTCTCCGCCTACAGTGGACCGCTCCGACACAGCCACTACCGAAGGCTTGCAGGGCACAGGAGGTACTGGTACTATCCCCACCAGCGGTGAGGACAGTTGGGTTGAATGTGTGTGTGAGTCTTAATATTTGGATGATTGTGATATTAATAATCATGTTGAACCCTGTCTGTAGGCAACATAGTGGTAACTGCTGCAGTGGTCGAGACCCAGAAGAGCACTAAGCTGAAGAACACACTCAAAGTAGACTTCAAGTTTGATTCCATGACTCTGGTCCTGTACAGCCCCAATGGGACTGAGGTAACTACTGCATACCTTCAAAAACACTACAATTGACCACAGAAAACTCCATCCACTTAGATATTCTTACCAAAAAGTGTGTGTCTGTGCCCGTCTGTCTGTGGGCGTGCGTCTCTGCCTGTGTGTGTGTGTGTGTGTGTGTGTGTGTGTGTGTATCCAGGTGCAGGTGTTGGACTCGAGGGATGATCAGCTGAAGCTGGCTGAGTTCACCCTGGGGACCATCTCTACATCTGTCCACATGTTCTCAGACGGATCCATGAAGGCCTCCGTCAAACTCACAGACTGCCTGCTAGATGACAAGAGATGCAGAGTCAAGAATATCACTGCCAGGTAGAACGCATGAACACACACAGTTACCTTGGTACTAAGCCTACATACACATTCAAACACACTGGGAGAGATACCGCAGAGTGATGTGTGTGTACTGTGAACATATGAGCGTGTGGCTCAGTGCTGGCGTAGATGTACGAGGCTCAGTGTGTGTTCTTCAGCGTGGCATCATGTTCATCACCGCTTTACCATCTGTCTACTCACATAGCTGTGTGACAGTCCTAAGATGAATGGCTTTTGTTAGCAGCCCCATGATAGTCAAAGCAGCTTTAAGTTAATCTCGCACTCCCAGTTCCTCAAAACCCATGAGTATTTCCATCTGGTATGTAAATTGTTTTGAGAGAATGGAATCTTTCAATCTGTAGTGTAGAATAAAAAGTTAGTCTCACTCCTCAATGTAACATCAATTGACAAACAGATTACAAGGTATTTAGTGCACTGATGATAGGGTGTGTTATTGGGACCCTTGTTGTAGGGATTGTTATTATTGCTCTTTCTGTAGGGATCATCATGTCCCTCTGGCCTCTGTCTGTCAGGATGATGGCGACGCGTCCGAGTGCTGGGAGGAACGTGATGGTGGAGGTCAACTACAAGCAGGGGTGTGACGGCACCTCTCTGGAGACGGTGGTGCAGGACGTCTACCTCTGTGCCAGCATGGAGTTCCTGCTCACCGTGGCCGACATCTTCCTCAAGGCCAGCCAGCAGGGTTTCTCCTCAGCCGTCCCCAAGAACAGCAGCAGCACTAAACCCACGGTTACAGCCACCGCTGCTTCCAAGGAACCAGGTAGGACACATTCACATTTCACACTACACAATATTCACCACAAATGTCATGTTCGTACGACATCAAATGTCATAGTGGAGGAGTCCGATAGTTTCACTTAGTTTCTGACCGATTTCTTCCATTTGATGCCTAATGAACACGCCCCTGCTTTCTTCTCTGTGTCTGTACTCCAGCTCCAGTGGCGGTCAAGTCGGAGATGATCGTTCTGGTGAAGAACCCAAAGATTGTCTTTGTGGCCGACCTGACGCGTGCCGACGCCCCGGCCCTGGTCATGACCATGGAGTGCGAGCTGGTGATTAAGAGCAACCCTGATGGTCAGCTGATGACGGCAGTGGTCAAGGACCTGAAGGTGGTGGCCTGTCCCTTCCTGAAGGAGAAGAGGAGGAACAAGGAGACCACTGTGCTGCAGCCCTGCCAGGTGTTCTTCAAGAGCACACAGTCCTCCACCTCCCCGCAGGCTATGGAGGTCTGCATCAAGGCACTGACACTCAAGGTAGGCCACAGCCAAAAACGGAACGGGAAGAAGCATCTCACTAATAAAATACCTAATTGTCACTTTTTCCTATGTTTTTATTTCTGGCACAGCTACCAGAACCAGAGTGATGTGTCTTACGTTCCATTCTCCTCCGTGCCCCTCCCCCTCCCCCAGGTGTCGCCCATCATCATCAACACAGTGATCACCATCCAATCGGTGCTGAGCCCGGCCGGTGCAGACACGCCCCAGTCTGAGCTGGAGAGCCCCGTACCCCCAGACCTGTGGGAACGCCGGGCCTGGCGGGACCTCAAGCTGTGGTTCCTGGAGGAGGAGGGTAAAGACGAAGATGCCCAGTCCCTGGTCCCGTTGATTCCCCAGGGCGAGTCCCTGCAGGTGGCCATTTACTCCATCTGCCTGACCCTGGAGGCTGGGGTGGGCCACCGCACCGTCCCCATGCTGCTGGCCAAGTCCTCCTTCCACGGGGATGTCAAGAACTGGAGCACCCTCATCGACCTGCACAGCCAGCTCAACCTGGAGGTCAGACACTGCACATCTCTACACGCTACCTCTATACAACATCTACACAACCTCAATTCAACTAAAACAGGTTTAGTAAGACTGCATTTAGTGTACTGTAACATAGTTGAACATAGTGTTGTATGTTTAGGTTCACTACTTCAACGAGGTGATGGGGGTGTGGGAGCCTCTTCTGGAGCCCGTAGAAGACGAGACCAGAGACGGCTTCAGATCCTGGACTCTGGGATTAAAGGTGACCCTTAATAAAGGTTGACTTTGGGCACGAAAAACGGTCCAACTCTTTTCTCAAGTTTCAAACAGAAATGGGGTGTGCCTTTTGGTGGTTCATCAACGTGTCATTCTGGTCCTGCGAGCCGTGACCAACGTAGCTAGTTTGTTAGCCACTGTAGCTAGACAGTAACTCCTCCAGTATGTGTTGACGACATTTCGCAGGATTTGTTTTTGGACGGAAGCTGTAGAGATGTTTTTAAGTATTAAATGACCTGGTATGATGGTGCATTGATCAGTTATACAGTTTTAAAGCGTTGTTTTGTGCTTTTTTGCCCAAAGTCGACCTTTTTAAACAATCTCTCATTCACACCACACACACACACACACAAACTCACAAACATCCCTCATCCGGATAGTGTAAACACACTATCCACCACACACACTTAACGGCCATACTTTCCCCTAACTGCAGATGAAGAAGAAGCCAGTAAAGTACTCAGGTATATCAGATGAAGTAGACTACTGCATCCCTGACTACAAGACCGTCATCAGCATCAGCAGCAAGGACCAGCTCAACATCACCCTCTCCAAGTGTGGACTGGGCATGCTCAGTAACCTGGGCACGGTAAGTCAATGATGTCACCTACCAGCACTCTTGTATGTGCTATTTTATTGGCTAGCTGAAAATATACCTTGTTTTTGTTATGGAATCACATAATCTGTACTGTCAATAAGAATCACAAAACATTTTAACAAAATAACTTTTTATGTGTAAGTGGATTGTTTTGATTGTGTTGGGATAGCTTGGTGTAGGCCTTTTTCTTGTACATCCCAACATGTGCTTGTGTGTGCGTGGCAGGCCTTTGCGGAGGCGGCCAAGCAGACATCGGAGAGTTTCCAAGAGGACGAGGCTCCGTTCGTGGTGAAGAACCGTCTGGGTCTGACTGTGTCAGTGATGTACAGTGAGCTGTTCTGCCCCCTGGGCCGCGAGGCCGTGGAGCACCGGGTAGAGCTGCAGAACGGAGAGAGCCTCAACATGGACTACCGTCGCACCACCTCCCACTCAGACCAGTTCTCTGCCATGACCTCGCTGGTCGCCAAGGACTACTACATACAGCCCAGTAAGCAACACAGTTGCACCAGTGCAGACCAGCACCCATATTCAGAGTATGACTGCTGATCTAGGATCAGTCTTGCTTTTTATAACATAATGAATACGATTATACAGACACAAATGGACCTGATCCTAGATCAGCACTCCTACTCTGAGATGCTTTATGAATACGGTCCCTGATATTCAAACGTGTTAGCGTTCTGACCTAATGCTCGGGCATTAGTTTGCGGAGCGAACATGATTTGTTCGCTGGGTCTAGGGTCAATTTAGTCATTGATCTCACGGTTTTTTATGTTCTTGTACTCAGCTCCGGCAGGCCACACTTCAGCCAGCGTGATTCCGTTGATCAAAGTGGGGCGTGGCATGTACAGTGTCCTGCACAAAGACTCTGGGGTCACCCGCTTCCTGGTCTGTCAGATCTACTCTGTGCAGGGAAGCAAGCACATCAAGATCCGCTCTCCCTTCCAGGCAAGTTACAGTCACCGGGGGGGGGGGTGTTCTTCTCCAACTCACATCCAAGGAGCCTCACTGTTCTCAAAACCACTCGTGCAGATATCACCCAAATACTAATTTACTCTCATTATTCATCTCCATATACACTGGTTGCTTCCCTACCTCTCCTCCTTCTCTCTCCACTGTACTTAACTTGACCCCAGAATGTACTAAACTTGACCCCAGAGAATGTAATTTCAATCTGAACAACGTGTCTCTTTCTCGTGTCTCCCCTACAGATCATAAACCACTTTTCCATCCCGTTCAGAGTGATGGAGGGCTCCATGTGTCTGGGGATCTCACTGCCTACAGAGGAGTTCTGCGTTCCTCTGGACTCCTACAGGTGACACACATACACACACACACACCCACACACACACACACATACACACATTTACATACTTTATTTGAATCCACCAATCAAATTTACAGTAAAAAAGTATCAAAACATTTCAAAGATCCCTGTATGCATGGCACTCAAGGGTACAGACAGCACCTCCTTCTCCAAACAGTTAGGCTGCCCACGACAGCTGAAACAGAGCAGTATCCAGCCAACTGCTTTGCCCTAGTTTTTGTCAGTCCCGCAATCTGGAGACCACGCACTGCAAGCCTGTGTACGTGGCCGAGACCGCCAAATATCAGCGCCACCCGTTGCACCTACACCCGAGGCTGTCCAAGCTTGCCACGAGGGGCTGGTATTTAAGCAGCTTGTCGGCAAAGGCCTGCTCTATGTAGCCGTTAAATGAGCAGCCCACTTCCAAAATGAGCATCTCCCCCCACAACAACAACAACAACAACAACATCTGGCGTATTTGGCACACAGGAAAACACATCATCATTAAGATCAAACCAGCTTCCTGGATGTGTGCTGTTGGTGAGACTACCTGTCTCAACTCGCTGGCTATCAGGTCGACAAGGCGGTCATGACTAGCAATGTACAAATCCTTGTAAATAAGCATTTCACTGTAAGGTCTACACCTGTTGTATTTGGCGCATGTGACCATTTTTATTTTATTTGACCAGACTCCAAAGCCTGCAGCACGAGTGTCCAATTTTCCATTGGCCTTGCTCCTGAAGCCCAGGAAGTTGTCCTCAACACACACGCACACACACACACACACACACACACACACACACACACACTGATTGCTGTGTGCCCCCCCCAGGTCAAAGTTGAGCCTGCAGCCGGTAACCGAGGGAGACAATCATTACGACTGTTCAGAGGGTTTCAGCTACGAGTCAGTGAGCCAGCAGCCTGGCACACGTGTACAGCAGACCTGTCATCGACATGGCAACAGCGCCAGCGTGCTCATGGTCAACATCGTCCCTCTGAAAGACACAGTGACATCACAACACACAGGAGTGGCCGGGGAGCACTTTGACGAGCCCTACATCCTGCACCTGTGGCCCTCCGTACTGCTCCGGAACCTTCTGCCTTACCCCATCACCTATCGCCTACAGGTACACACACACACTTGTTTTACTATCCTTGAGGGGACCAAACAATTGAATCTTATTTTTCATATCCCCTTAACCTAACCTTAACCCTAAACCTAACCCTAACTCCTAAATCTAACCCCTTAGCCTAAAATAGCCTTTTTCCTTGTGGGGACCGGCGAAATCTCCCCACGAATGTTACTTGTTTCACTATCCTTGTGAGGACTGGTAGTAAAACCAAAAGAAACCACACACCCTCACACCCACAGAGATCAGTGGCTACTACCCACATTACTCCTGAGTCCCTACCCACCAGCAGAGAAATGGACCTACAGTATGTTACGCCTGCTCCCCTATCACCTTCACACTGCACATAGATATACAGTGGGGAGAACAAGTATTTGATACACTGCCGATTTTGCAGGTTTTCCTACTTACAAAGCATGTAGAGGTCTGTAATTTTTATCATAGGTACACTTCAACTGTGAGAGACGGAATCTAAAACAAAAATCCAGAAAATCACATTGTATGATTTTTAAGTAATTAATTTGCTTTTTATTGCATGACATAAGAATTTGATCACCTACCAACCAGTAAGAATTCCGGCTCTCACAGACCTGTTAGTTTTTCTTTAAGACGCCCTCCTGTTCTCCACTCATTACCTTTATTAACTGCACCTGTTTGAACTCGTTACCTGTATAAAAGACACCTGTCCACACACTCAATCAAACAGACTCCAACCTCTCCACAATGGCCAAGACCAGAGCGCTGCGTAAGGACATCAGGGTTAAAATTGTAGACCTGCACAAGGCTGGGATGGGCTACAGGAAAATAGGCAAGCAGCTTGGTGAGAAGGCAACAACTATTGGCGCAATTATTAGAAAATTGAAGAAGTTCAAGATGACGGTCAATCACCCTTGGTCTGGGGCTCCATGCAAGTTCTCACCTCGTGGGGCATCAATGATCATGAGGAAGGTGAGGGATCAGCCCAGAACTACACGGCAGGACCTGGTCAATGACCTGAAGAGAGCTGGGACCACAATCTCAAAGAAAACCATTAGTAACACACTACGCCGTCATGGATTAAAATCCTGCAGCGCACGCAAGGTCCCCCTGCTCAAGCCAGCGCTTGTCCAGGCCCGTCTGAAGTTTGCCAATGACCATCTGGATGATCCAGAGGAGGAATGGGAGAAGGTCATGTGGTCTGATGAGACAAAAATAGAGCTTTTTGGTCTAAACTCCACTCGCCGTGTTTGGAGGAAGAAGAAGGATGAGTAGAACCCCAAGAACACCATCCCAACCGTGAAGCATGGAGGTGGAAAAATCATTCTTTGGGGATGCTTTTCTGCAAAGGGGACAGGACGACTGCACCGTATTGAGGGGAGGATGGAAGGGGCCATGTATCGCGAGATCTTGGCCAACAACCTCCTTCCCTCAGTAAGAGCATTGAAGATGGGTCATGGCTGGGTCTTCCAGCATGACAACGACCCGAAACACACAGCCAGGGCAACTAAGGAGTGGCTCCGTAAGAAGCATCTCAAGGTCCTGGAGTGGCCTAGCCAGTCTCCAGACCTGAACCCAATAGAAAATCTTTGGAGGGAGCTGAAAGTCCGTATTGCCCAGCGACAGCCCCGAAACCTGAAGGATCTGGAGAAGGTCTGTGTGGAGGAGTGGGCCAAAATCCCTGCTGCAGTGTGTGCAAACCTGGTCAAGACCTACAGGAAACGTATGATCTCTGTAATTGCAAACAAAGGTTTCTGTACCAAATATTAAGTTCTGCTTTTCTGATGTATCAAATACTTATGTCATGCAATAAAAAGCAAATTAATTACTTAAAAATCATACAATGTGATTTTCTGGATTTTTGTTTTAGAGTCTGTCTCTCACAGTTGAAGTGTACCTATGATAAAAATTACAGACCTCTACATGCTTTGTAAGTAGGAAAACCTGCAAAATCGGCAGTGTATCAAATACTTGTTCTCCCCACTGTATATGTGATATAAATGTATATCATATATCCTCAGACCTTCCCCCTCACATGACATGACTATTATTGGTCACTGATTGATATTGTGTCTGTTGATTGGCTGACAGGACAGTGAAGAGCCCGCCCCCATCACCCTGATGGAAGGCCACTCGGCAGAGCTACACACTGCCGTCATGGACCTGTCCAGCCTGGAACTCCGCCTCCTCGACTACCTGGGGCAGGATTGGAAGGCCCACTATGGTCTCCGTGGCAACCAGGACGAGATCACCTTCATTGTGTTCCACTCCCTGCACGGTGAAGAGGAGGAGGTTAGGTTAGGAGAGAGGAAGAGAGCAGAGCTGGACATTGCGGTGCATGTGAAGTACGACGCGGGCCAGACTGAGGTGGCCATCTATTCTCCCTACTGGATGGTGAACAAGACGGGCCGCCTGCTGCAATACAAGGCAGACGACATCCACCGCAAACACGCCATGGACTACGACATGCCCCTGCTCTTCTCCTTCAAGCCACGCAACTTTCTGAACAACAACAAGGTAGTGGGTGGGGTTGGACTGGGCTTTTAAGTGATAACGCCTAACCTTAAAGATCTAACCCTTACTGCTTGTCTCGCCGACCTCTAACCTTTTTTCTCTCCCCGTGGCAGGTGCGGCTGATGATCTCGGACAGCGAGCTGTCTGATGATTTCTCCCTGGATACCGTGGGTAGCTATGGTGAAGTAAAGTGCAAAGGGAGGCACAAAGATTACCTGGTGAGTGGTGGTGGATCAACACTACTAGCAGATGAATTACAGTCTGATGTTCACCCTTTCAACAACTTTCAGATGGGTCATGGAGTGTGATTTGCTGAACATTGAACAATCAACAGATTAAATTATTCAGGTTGATTGTGGCTTTCTATGGTTTGATTGAAGATCGGGGTGAAGATCGACCCTAGCAGTTTCAGCCTGACCCGTATTGTGAGCTTTGTGCCGTACTACCTGTTGGTGAACAGGACCAAGCATGTGATCAGGGTGGGAGAGGAGGGCCAGGACCACTGGACTGAGGCCAGACCACACCAGGTACTACAACTAGAGCTACTTACAACCCCAAATGCAATTCAATCCATTCAGGAAGTGCTTGTAGTAAAAATGTGTTCAAGTCATGGCTTGAATATCAGTTAATTTCCTAAATTGACAGAATTTTGAAATGGAATAGTGGAGCCCTACTCTGCATACAGTAAGTAGCACATCCATGTAGTGAAACTGACCTCTCTGTTTTTCTCTGTCTCTCTCTCACTCTTCTCTCGCTCACTTGTTTCTCTCGTTCTCTCTGTGCTGCTCAGGCAGCCATCCCATTCTGGCCCGAGAGGGACTCCAAGAAGCTCAAAGTCAAAGTGGAAGGCTGTCAGTCAACCCCTCAAACCATGGACTTCACCAAACCAGAAAACTGCCTGTTGCTGCACCTGGACAACACTGTGAGTAACGCCTGAGATTGCACTACACACGCACACACACACAAACTTAAGGATGGTACTGGAGTGTTTGTGGGTAACTACTGTATAAGCTGATGCTGAGGCTTTGTAGTGATAAATACATTTTCCAAGTTGGGTTCTTTAAAGTACTAGTACTACTACTTTTAATTTGGCCTTCCTCCTGTATTTTCCAGCTGGGTGGGGTCATTGTGGACGTGAACCTATCAGACCACTCAATCATTATCCGTTTCTCGGACTACCACGACGGAGCCGCCCCCTTCCTCATTATCAACCACACCAAGGAGCAGACGCTGGTGTTCTACCAGAGGTAAAGGAGAGACTGGAGGGAGGGGGATTGATGGGGGGTGGAAGGGAAGGAGGAAGGTAGGTAACAGGGCAATAAGCAGAAATGTTTTATTATATGGGTGGCATTTTACTCTTCTTAAAACAGGCGCAATGCCCTGAAACAAAACCTATATAAATCTTACAGTTTATCTTGAAGTGGGATGTCTCAACTTTCCTTTTAGCAATGTCCATGAGATGGTAGCGTTTATTTATGGGGACATAAGTAAACGGTACAAAATAAGTGTTAAAGCTCTACTATTCCTCATTGGTTTCTGAATGAAACCTGCATGTTTACAGCCTCCGGTTCAGCAAACTTCCCAGGCTGTGCTGCGTGCAGGATCCACCAGTATCTCTTGTTGTCCCTTGGTTTTGTTTGTTGTTTGCACTTACTTTGTATTTGTTTTAATACAGGGTTTTCGTTTTATTTGATGTTGTGTTGTTTTGTCTGTATTTGCCCTGTTTGCATGGATGAAGTTCCTTTGGTTTGTGATTTGTTGTGATTTACACTTATTTTGCTTTCAGTCAGAATTGTTTGCTAGTACCACGTTTTTTGTCTGAAATGTGAACCTGGGCTTTTTCTTGTTGACAGAGTTTGTGTGTGTTTATGAATTTGTTTGGTTTTTGTTTGTTTGCTTTGTTTTGGTGCTGTTGTCGGATCTGCTCCTTACATGCCACTCCACAAGAAAATAGATTATGTGCATTATATAAATGATACAAAATATTGCATTACATATTAATATCGCTATATGGTTCAACAACCACGAGTCATCTGATTGATAGTGACCAAACTACAGAGCGTGGAGTGATCAAGGAGAAGCTCCGGCTTCACAGTGTCATGACCGTTTGCCCTATGACCTCTCCCCCCCCCCCCCCCCCCATGTTCTAGGTTAATTTGCTTCATAGTGGGACTCTGGCAACGGGATCTGACCTCTGCTTCCTAGCGCCTTCCATTTTCCCCAGCCACCAATTTCCATCACCCCCGTTTTTTTCTGACTGTCAGCTATCTTCATCTTGGTGGGTTTTGCGTGGTCTCGTGTGTGTGCTTTCTAACTCGTTGCGTGTGTGTGTGTGTGTGTGTGTGTGTGTGTGTGTGTGTGTGTGTGTGTGTGTGTGTGTGCGCGAGTAGCAGTCAGAAGGAGAAGGACAAGCTGAGCCCGGGGAAGGCGGTGTACTATACCTGGGCTGAGCCCACCGGGTCACGCTCCCTGGTCTGGCAGTGTGGCAGCTACAGTGGCGAGCTGAAGAGCGAAGAGGTACTGTACCACGGCTTTCTATTCACTCCTACTAGGGTTGGGTGATATTACCATAGTATCATCTATCGGGGATGATTGACAGCCATCGTCAATGGTGATGACATCGTGATGTGACAGAGGATGGGCAACTGGCAGCCACTTTTGAAGGCCCTCGGATCAACTTACTGTTGTAAGTTAGAATAGTAGAATACAAATTTGGTTGTGCATCAGCAGATTTTCTCTTAAGTCAATCATTGATGGTCACTCGAATTACCGTCTGGGGAGCCCCGATTGATTTTGGTAGTCAGTCTCACTCAGATATCATATTCTATTCTCAAATCAGTTTTATTTTGAATGACAAATATTTTCGCCCACAATAAGTGAAATTGAGCAAACAATACCAAGATGGAAACGAATGAGAAGTCAAAAGAAAACTTAGAGCTGAGCAAAAATAAAATAAATGATGGTTGGCCTAGGCCTATTTCCATATTATTCTAGCAATGTGCAACCTACCTACAACGCATAGTAGCTTAGGTCTAACGCCTCGATCAGACCGATTAGTAATACTCCAATCAAGTTGTAGAAACATCAAGGATGATCAATGGAAACAGGATGCACCTGAGCTCAATTTCGAGTCTGATAGCAAAGGGTCTGAAGACTTATGTAAATCGGGTATTTTCTGAGCTCCAGAGTTGCTCTGTGGAGATGGGAGAACCTTGCAGAAGGACAACCATCTCTGCAGCACTCAACCAATCAGGCCTTAATGGTAGAGTGGCCAGACGGAAGACACTCCTCAGTAAAAGGCACATGACAGCCCACTTGGAGTTTGCCAAAAGGCACCTAAAGACTCTCAGACCATGAGAATCAACTCTTTGGCCTGAATCTCAAGCATCGCGTCTGGAGGAAACCTGGTACCATCCCTATGGTGAAGCGTGGTGGTGGCAGCATCTGGGACTGGGAGTCTAGTCAGGATCGAGGGAAAGATGAACGGAGCAAAGTACAGAGATCCTTGATGAAAACCTGCTCCAGAGCGCTCAGGACCTCAGACTGAGGTGAAGGTTCACCTTCCAATAGGACAACGACCCTAAGCACACAGCCAAGACAACGCAGGAGAGGCTTCAGGACAATGTCTTGAGTGGCCCAGCCAGAGCCCGGACTTGAACCCGATCTAACATCTCTGGAGAGACCTGAAATTAGCTGTGCAGCGACGCTCCCCATCCAACATGACAGAGCTTGAGAGTATCTGCAGAGAAGAATGGGAGAAACACCCCAAATACAGGTGTGCCAAGCTTGTAGCGTCATACCCAAGAAGACTCGAGGCTATAATCGCTGCCAAAGGTGCTTCAGAAAAGTACTGAGTAAAGGGTCTGAATACTCATGTAAATGTGATATTTCAGTTTTTTATTTTATTTGCAAAAATGTCTAAAAACCGTTTTTGTTTTGTCATTATGGGGTTTTGTGTGTAGATTGGTGAGGGGAAAAAAATATATTTAATACATTTTAGAATAAGGCTGTAACGTAACAATGTGGAAAAGGTCAAGGGATCTGAATACTTTCTGAATGCACTGTATGTATACATATTACACAAAAAATTTACTAATATGAAACAGACAAGGATCTCCTGCTTAGTGTTTAACAAAGCTGCTTAATATGGTTTAGTCCATCAATAATCACATACAACTTTAAAATCGTCTCATTATTCAGGCTCCGATCCTCAAAAGGCTTAGTAAAGGGTTTAGCTAAGTCCACCAGAAAGTTTGAAAGTGTTACTGCATTTTCTTCGCCCTTATACTGGTTTGATGACCTGAGCAGTTTTACAAGGGAAGCAACATGTGATGGTAACCAGTTGAAAATTGTTTACAGCAGTATAAGGATAGTTTTATAAGTTGTTGAGTCTTTCTTTGCATCTGATGTGCACTTGATCCGTGTGTTTGTGTGTGTGTGTAGGACCTGCGGTTGGATGTGAATGAGGAGGGTAAGCTGTACCTCATCTCGTTCTATGAGGGCCTCCAGCGGGTGGCGCTGTTCACCGAGGACCGGCGGATCTACAAGCTGCTGTGTGAGAGTGAGAAGGCTGAACTGGCTGAACAGGAGATCATCCTCTCCCTACAAGACGTGGGTGTCTCCCTGGTCAACAACAGCAGCCACCAGGAGGTGTCCTTCATCGGCATTACCAGGTACACACACACACACACTCACTCACTATGGTATGATAGTGCTACAGTTGACTGTACTGTGAGTGGAAACGTGCATTCCAATTTCAGAGCAGCAGCATATTCAGTGTGCTTTCCCCTGTGTGTGTAGTTCAGACGTGGTGTGGGAGTTCAAGCCAAAGAAGAAGTCTCGCTGGAAACCCCTGAGTTTTAAATATGCAGCGCTGCTTGAGACCCATTTCAGAGAGTACACCGAGAGTGGACAAGTGGACAACGCCATCTTAGACCTGGAGAGCAACTTTCAGGTCAGACAGCAACTGTATATGCCACTATACAGTATCTATTCATCTGATATCATGTATACCATCCACTTGATATCCTACCCCTTGAAAATTATACAATTTGTAGAGGTAAAGGTGGTTCTCAATTTTGCACAGCTCCAGTATAACACATGTGTGTGGGCTAACTCTGTGTTGTCAGGTGTCTCTGACGCCAAACAGGCAAGACATGAGGATGATGAAGCCATATGATGCTCCAATCAGGAGGAACTTCCTTCCAGGGGTGAAGGTGGAGTACAGCATATCGGCCCGCCAGAGTACCTACCGTGTCCAGATCAACCGCATACAGGTGGGTTCCAGAGAGTTGGAAAGTGAGCACTCTATCCAACTCTATGGTGGGTCCCCACCCGACTATCCTACCATAGATTTTTACATTGACCGTTAAGTCATTTGGCCAACTATTCAATTAAATTCAATGCCATTCCTTTCATTTTTAAGGCCTTTGTTTTTCCACAGATCCAGAATCAGCTGCCTGGAGCAATCTTCCCCCATGTCTTCTACCCAATAAAACTACCCAAGTCTGTCACCATGGACTCAGGTCAGTACCATGCTCTGTCCAAGTCCTTCTGTGTTGTGCAGTCACACTTACATGGGCCTAAGTGGGTGCCAAAAGGGGGCCATTTCCGACGCAACCATAGACATTGTTAGACTGGAGTACTCTGGATAAACACATAGCTATGGGTGTTTCTGCTCCCCACTTTCCTGTAGAGCCCAAACCTTTGACCGACATCAGCATTGTTACAAGGGCAGCCGGACACTCAGATATCTCACGCATCAAGTGAGTCCATCGCTATAGTTAATTTTCTTCCACCTATCTTCCATCTCTCTCTCTCTCTCTCTCTCTCTCTCTTCTGTTCTCTCTCTCTGTGTGTCTTCTCTCTGTTTCCTTACCTCTTCTCGGCCAACTTTCTCATTGCCTGTCTGTCTTTATATATATATAATCTCTTCCCCCCTCGTCTTGGTCAGGTATTTCATGGTGCTGATCCAGGAGATGGACTTGAAGTTGGACCTGGGTTTCCTCTACGCCATCTTGGATCTGTTCACCCTGGAGAACGCCAGTGTGATGACATCAGAGCAGATGGTAAGACCCTCCCCCCTCTCTTCCCCTCAATTGTCCTCCACACGTTACCCCCACTACCTACTTCCATTACAATAGTGTCAGTAATCCGTAGTGGTGCTCTATAAGCTCTTCGCACATGCTAGCTCAATTAGCTTCCAGGTTCGTAATGAACCAGGAAGCTAATTGTTCTAGCACAGTGGTTCCCAACTCTGGTCCTCGATTACCCCCAACAGTAAAACAATGTATTGTAGCCCCAGACAAGCACAACTGATTCCACTTGTCAACTAATCATCAGGCCCTCAATGAGTTAAATCAGGTATGTTTGTCCGAGCTACAACAAAAATGTGTGCTGTTGGGGGTACTCGAGGACCAGAGTTGGGAACCACTGATCTAGCATGTGCAAAGAGCCTATAGACCTTTTCAACTGTCAAAACAATAACATGTTCTACACTGAACAAAAATATAAACACAACATGTAAAGTGCTGTTCCCATGTTTCTTGAGCTGAAATAAAAGATCCAAAAAAAATTCCATACGCACAAAAAGGTTATTTCTCTAAAATGTTGTGCACAAATTTGTTTACATCCCTGTTAGTGACCATTTCTGCTTTGCCAAGATAATCCATCCACTTGACAGGTGTGGCATATCAAGAAGCTGATTAAACAGCATGATCATTACACAGGTGCACCTTGTGCTGGGGACAGTAGAAGGCCCCTCTAAAATGTGCAGTTTTGTCACACAACACAATGCCACAGATGTCTCAAGTTTTGAGGGAGCGTGCAATTGGCATGCTGACTGTGGGGATGTCCACCAGAGCTGTTGCCAGAGAACTGAATGTTCATTTCTCTACCATAAGTTGCCTCCATCGTTTTGAGAATTTGGCTGCATGTCCAACCGGCCTCACAACCGCAGACCATGTGTAACCACGCCAGCCCAGGACCTCCACATCTGGCTTCTTTACCTGCGGGATCGTCTGAGACCAGCCACCCGGACAGCTGATGAAACTGTGGGTTTGCACAACCGAAGATTTTCGGCACAAACCGCCTTGGGGAAGCTCATCTGCGTGCTTGTCATCATCACCAGGTTCTTGACCTGACTGCAGTTCGGCGTTGTAACTGACTTTAGTGGGCAAATGCTCACCTTCGGTGCTCACTGGCACAGTGTGCTCTTTTTACATTAAAAATAAATAAAACACATTTTAGTCATTTAGCAGACGCTCTTATCCAGAGCGACTTACAGTTTTTAGTGAGTGCATACATTTTTCATACTGACCCCCTGTGGGAATTGAACCCACAACCCTGGCGTTGCAAGCCCCATGCTCTACCAACTTGGCTACAGGAGGCCACACGGATGAATCCCGGTTTCAACTGTACCGGGCAGATGGCAGATAAGCGTGTATGGCGGTGTGTGGGCGAGTGGTTTGCTGATGTCAACGTTGTGAACAGAGTGCCCCACGGTGGCGGTGGGGTTATGGTATGGGCAGGCATAAGCTACGGACAACAAACACAATTGCATTTTATCGATGGCAAATTGAATGCACAGAGACCCATTGTCATGCCATTCATCAGTCGCCATCACCTCATGTTTCAGCATGATAATACACGGCCCTATGTCGCAAGAATCTGTACACAATTCATGGGAGCTGAAAATGTCCCAGTTCTTCCATGGCCTGCATACTCACCAGACATGTCATCCATTGAGCATGTTTGGGATGCTCTGGATCGATGTGTACAACAGCGTGTTCCAGTTCCTGCCAGTATCCAGCAACTTCGCACAGCCATTGAAGAGGAGTGTGACAAAATTCCACAGGCCAAAATGAACAGGCTGATCAACTATATGCGAAGGAGATGTCGTGCTGTATAAGGCAAATGGGGTCACCAGATACTGACTGGTTTTCTGATTCACGGCTCTACCGCCACGCCATCATGTGGTGCTGTCACCCACCCTGAGACCTAAAGTCCTGTTATCCTAGCCCAACCAAGATCATGGTTTTGTTAGGATAATGGATGCTGCTTTGTGGGTATGAAGTACTGTTGTGGACAGGGGTTGCATCCTAGGTCAGCCATATAGGGATTGTTACACCCACACAAGTGATCATGGACATCAGCTGCAAATCTGTGCAATATCAAACAAAATGAGAATTAGTGACAACCAAATAAAACAGACAAACAGGGAATGTTCAATGACCAAAAAATACACTATACTTAAATCAAAGAATCAACACTGTATTTCATATCATACAAAGAACACCTATGTAAATGGTTAGTGGGTATAGACATTCATCTTACTCCAAAACAAGAGATGATTGAATAGTGTCTAATACAAATAATTAGCAGAATGTCAGGGCTGGCCTTTAACAGAAACCTGCACACCCAGTACCTAGATCTCTAGGAGCAAGAGAAACTATAAAGTATTCAGACCCCTTATTCTGAAATGGATTAAATTGTTTTTCCCCTCATCAATCTACATACAATGCCCCATAATGACAAACCAAAAACAGGTTTGAGAAGTTTTTGCAAATTGATAATAAACAAAAAACGGCACTATCACATTTACATGAGTATTCAGACCCTTTACTCAGTACTTTGTTGAAGCACCTTTGGCAGCGATTACAGCCTCGAGTCTTCTTGGGTATGACACTACAAGCTTGGCACACCTGTATTTGGGGAGTTTCTCCCATTCTTCTCTGCAGAATCTCTCAAGCTCTGTCAGGTTGGATGGGGAGCATCGCTGCACAGCTATTTTCAGGTCTCTCCAGAGATGTTCAAATCCGGGCTCTGGCTGGGCCACTCAAGGACATTCAGAGACTTGTCCCGACGCTTGGCATTCAGGCCAAAAAGTTCAATCTCGGTTTCATCAGACCAGAGAATCTTGTTTCTCATGGTCTGAGAGCCCTTTAGGTGCCTTTTGGCAAACTCAAAGCGGGCTGTCATGTGCCTTTTACTGAGGAGTGGCTTCCGTCTAGCGACCCTACCATAAAGGCCTGATTGGTGGAGTGCTGCAGAGATGGTTGTCCTTCTGGAAGGTTCTCCCATCTCCACAGAGGAACTCTGGAGCTATGTCAGAGTGACCATCGGGTTCTTGGTCACCTACCTGACCAAGGCCCTTCTCCCTCGATTGCTCAGTTTGGCCGGGCGGCCAGCTCTAGGAAGAGTCTTGATGGTTCCAAACTTCTTCCTTATAAGAATGATGGAGGTCACTGTGTTCTTGGGGACCTTAAATGCTGCAGAAATGTTTTGCTACCCTTCCCCAGATCTGTGCGTCGACACAATCCTGTCTCGGAGCTCTACGGACAATTCCTTCGATATTATGGCTTGGTTTTTGCTCTGACATGCACTGTCAACTGTGGGACCTTATATAGACAGTTGTGTGCCTTTCCAAATCATGTCCAATCAATTGAATTTACCACAGGTGGACTCAATCAAGTTTCTAACATCTCAAAGATGATCAATGGAAACAGGATGCACCTGAGCTCAATTTCGAGTCTCATAGCAAAGGGTCTGAATACTTATGTAAATGCATATTTCTGTTTTGGTTTTATACATTTACAAACATTTCTAAAAACCTGTTTTCGCTATGTCATTATGGGGTATTGTATGTAAATTGATGAATATTTGTATTTATTTAATCAATTTTAGAATAAGTCTAATGTAACAAAATGTGGAAAAAGTCAAGGGGTCTGAATACTTTCCGAATGCACTGTACCCTTCAGTCTCTCCAGGACTTGGGACTCTCTTTGTGACCTTCATCCGCAGACAGGGTTTAGCAGCGTTCACAGGTCTCTGTATCTGAGGATAGAAAACATTAGAAATTAGACCAGGACTTGCTTCATTATTCTCAAGTGATATAACATGTGATATTTGTTTTTTTGTATAATTTGTCATAGTTCTCTCTTTGGGACTGAACATCTGTTCATTACCAGGGACCTAATTATTTTCTTCAACCAAACCTCAGTCAATCGCTCTGCGGTGTGGGAAAGGGTATATGAGTCAGGCAGAGGCAAACCTGTTGCGAACACACTAGTAGCCAGGTTGTTCAGAGACTAGCTGCGAATCAACCAAGAATTGTCTTTTGACATTGTCATTGTGCTGGGAGACTCCCAGCACCAAACGTCAAGACAATTCTTGGTTGAATTGCAACTATTCAGAGACATGAGCTTTCAATAGATACATTTGAAACTAGCTAACTTAGTATTAGAGGTGAGGGATTTGTTTTGATACTGCAGTTGGCTGGCTGCCAGCTAGCTACAAGTCAGTAGGTACAGTATGGTGTCTCACCATGTGGAAAGTTTTCATTACTACACTGACACAGTCTGCGACAGGTGAGAAGTTGTAAATGCATGGGTAGGTTCTGATTAGGGACATTTTCAACTCAACATTTTTCATAAATCAACCCATTCCTCCTAGTTACCTAGTACAATGGTGCATCAATACACTCTCATGTTGCTGCAATACCAAAAATATCCAGACAATTAGTTTGCTTGTGCATAATCCTTTATTCATTCCAATGTCAGGCCAGTTGAACAGTAATGTAAGCCTATTTCATGTTCACTATAAAACTTCCAAAATAATCAAAATGTGAATAAAATAACCTTCAAACATAACTTCTATAGTATCTTTAAATTCCACCTTTTCACTCCTTATATAGAAAGCAATCAAAAGTCTGCAAATCTCTAGCTTCACACAAAATATATTTGCAACACTGAATTGTACCCAGGGGGTAAAGTGCCAATGTTTCGAATTAGACCAAAAACTGGTTCTGCAGAGCAAGACGGGGAAAGGACAAAAAACTGCCTGTGGTAGAAGGGGGAAAATGAACACAGCAAAGACAAGAAACTGCATATGCATGGTCTAATAAATCAAACAAGGTCTACAGTGCATTTCTCAGCCACCAACACACAATGGGTTTTCAAGCCTTTCTTTAATACAAACTACACTGTATTCCTTGCATTTCCTCCAGACCGGTATGATAATCAGACTCCTGCATAGAGGTTCTGCTATGTTCAGGCCATCTCAGAGTGAAGCTCAAATATAACATACAACTTTCAGTGGAAGAGTTCTTGTTAGTTTAGTATAAAAATAAAGTTGCACACCAATTATGCTCCCAAACATTTTAATAGGTAGAGCAGCCAATGTTTCGGCAATGCTGAAACGTTGGTTACTATACCCATTAAAATGTTTGGGAACATAGTGTTGTCTTTATTTTTATAGTTTAACCAGTCTGCACCTCTAAAAATGTTTTAGGGGTGCGTCAGCTTCTGCCTTTTACCAGTTAGTTAAGTAGAAATTAGTTTGATGACCAAATTCAGGGCTGACAGTGTTTGGACTCGGGATTGAAAATCTGTGAAGGGTTCATTGGGTGTAACGTACCTACAGCTGTCTGACTGCTACCCCAAATATAAAATGCACCCCTTAAACCTATTCCATTCTAAATCAACCCTAAGTAGATCCTACTATGGTAAACTGATCAGTCTAACCCCAAAGTATGTGTCTATGACAAAATCTTAGCGCGCCCGCATTATTGTAGAATGCATAATAAACCAATTGCATGGTGTTCCAGTGAAGAAATAGTGAGTGGGACTGTGGTGGAGGCGTTACTTAATTTGGCTACATACTAAACACTTTAGCTAGCTAGGTAGCTAAGGTTGTTTGTAGCAGATCAAGCTAACGTTGGTGTCATTAAAAAATATATATTGGATGGCTGTCTATCCTATTTGTATGTAGCTAACTGACGTTACCTAGAATATTTGGTTAACTTGATAAACAATTTACCAGTGTGCTACATATCATCCTGGCACCGCCACCTCCTGCTGCTAATGTTACTATCCATGCAGGCAATGCAGCCAGCTGCGATTTTTCTTTGGGAAATCTATCAACTTTAATTTTCTAAAATAGATTTGTCCCCAGACGTAATGACCATCCCACCCGCGATTACTATGAAAACAACTAAACTAAGTTAGCTAGCTGTTGACAGCCGCGACAGAACCGCTGGTTGTTTACAAACGCACTGAAAGTTCCGGGGTTCACTCTCCGCTCCTCCTGTTAAGGTTTAAGACTGAATATATCTCTCTCCTCTCTCTCGGTGGTGTTCAGGTGGAGTTGTTTGAGAAGGACATTGAGTATCTGAAGACTGAGCTGAACCACATCTCAGCCGCTGACACGTCCCCTATCAGTCTCTATGAGTACTTCCACATCTCTCCCATCAAGGTGAGCTTCAGTGTCGTCACAGTGCTTTTACTGTGTGTATGCTACATCAATCAATCAATCAATCAATTTTATTTTATATAGCCCTTCTTACATCAGCTAATATCTCGAAGTGCTGTACAGAAACCCAGCCTAAAACCCCAAACAGCTAGTAATGCAGGTGTAGAAGCACGGTGGCTAGGAAAAACTCCCTAGAAAGGCGAAAACCTAGGAAGAAACCTAGAGAGGAACCAGGCTATGAGGGGTGGCCAGTCCTCTTCTGGCTGTGCCGGGTGGAGATTATAACAGAACCATGCCAAGATGTTCAAAAATGTTCATAAGTGACAAGCATGGTCAAATAATAATCAGGAATAAATCTCAGTTGGCTTTTCATAGCCGATCATTAAGAGTTTGAAAACAGCAGGTCTGGGACAGGTAGGGGTTCCATAACCGCAGGCAGAACAGTTTAAACTGGAATAGCAGCAAGGCCAGGCGGACTGGGGACAGCAAGGAGTCACCACGGCCGGTAGTCCCGACGTATGGTCCTAGGGCTCAGGTCTCTCAGTTGGCTTTTCATAGCTGATCATTAAGAGTTGAAAACAGCAGGTCTGGGACAGGTAGGGGTTTCGTAGCCGCAGGCAGAACAGTTAGGGCCAGGAGTTTTTCTAGACAGCATGGCCTGACCAGTAAAAACAGTAGGCCCTCTAGTCATGAACTGTTATTTACCAGTTATGCACCATAGTCATGGGATCAGGAAAACTCCTGGTCTAGGGATGATCTATATATAGTAAGGTGTGTTTGTTTGGCAGCTGCACCTGAGTTTCTCTTTGAGTTCTGGAGGAGAGGATGGTAATAAGGAGAAGAGGGAGACTGAGGTCATCCCTGTCCAATCCCTCAATCTGCTGCTGAAGAGCATCGGAGCAACCCTCACTGACGTGCAGGACGTCGTCTTCAAGTATGGACACATACAATGGCACACACACACGTAACAAACAGAAACTCTACAAAACCACTTCATGCTATTTATTTGCTTTTGACAAGGCTTTATTTGACCATGTCCCCTTTTTGCATACATTTACACTAGCGTCTGACCCACAGTCATTTTCTGTAACTTCCCTAGATTGGCCTATTTCGAGCTGACATTCCAGTTTCGCACTACCCAGCAACTACAATGGGAGGTCATCAGACACTACTCGAAACAGGTAACATCTCACACACACTCCACTCCAAGTGGGACCTAATGGCCAATTCTTAACAAGTCACCCATTCATTTCAATTAATGATTTATGTGAAAATGTAGTTCTATCCAAGTTCCTCAAGTTAGGATCCCCCCCTCCCTGACAAGTAATGTAGTTACTATGATACACAAGAGAACTGAGCCATGTTCCCATCCGTGTCTCAGGCGATAAAGCAGATGTATGTGCTGGTGTTGGGCTTGGACGTGCTGGGAAACCCCTTTGGACTGATCCGAGGTCTGTCTGAGGGAGTGGAGGCTTTCTTCTATGAGCCCTATCAGGTAAGACCACAGTGCAACCAGTATGAACCACGCCAGCTCAAACAACGTATGACCTAAATCTTTTACAGTACCAGTCAAAAGAGTGGACACCTACTCATCCAAGGGTTTTTCTTTCTACATTGTAGAATAATAGTGAAGACATCAAAACTATGAAATAACACACATGGACTCATGTAGTAACCAAACAAGTGTTAAACAAATGAAAATATATTTTATATTTGAGATTCTTCAAATAGCCACCCTTTGCCTTGATGACAGCTTTGCACACTCTTGGCATTCTCTCAACCAGCTTCATGAGGTAGTCAACTGGAATGCATTTAATTTAACAGGTGTGCCTTGTTAAAAGTTAATTTGTGGAATGTCTTTCCTTCTTAATGCGTTTGAGCCAATCAGTTGTGTTATGACAAGGTAGGTGTGGTATACAGAAGATAGCCCTATTTGGTAAAAGACCAAGTCCATATTATGGCAAGAACAGCTCAAATAAGCAAAGAGAAACGACAGTCCATCATTACTTTAAGACATGAAGGTCAGTCAATCCAAGGCTTTCGACTCTGTCAATCACTGCATTCTTATTGGCTGACTAAATAGCCTTGGTTTCTCAAATGACTGCCTCGCCTGGTTCACCAACTACTTCTCAGATAGAGTTCAATGTGTCAAATCGGAGGACCTGTTGTCTGGACCTTTAGCAGTCTCTATGGGGGTGCCACAGGGTTCAATTCTCAGGCCGACTCTATTCTCTGTGTATATCAATGATGTTGCTCTTGCTGCTGGTGACTCTCAGATCCACCTCTACGCAGACGACACCATTTTGTATACATCTGGCCCTTCATTGGACACTGTGTTAACAAACCTCCAAACGAGCTTCAATGCCATACAACACTCCTTCCGTAGCCTCCAACTGCTCTTAAACGTTAGTACAACTAAATGCATGCTCTTCAATCGAACGCAGCTTGCACCCGCCCGCCCGACTAGAATCACTACTCTCAGCGGGTCTGACTTAGAATATGTGGACTACAAATACCTAGGTGTCTGGTTAGACTGTAAACTCTCCTTCCAGACTCACATTAAGCATCTCCAATCCAAAGTTAAATCTAGAATCGGCTTCCTATTTCGCAACAAAGGCTCCTTCACTCATGCTGCCAAACATGCCCTCGTAAAACGGACTATCCTACCGATCCTTGACTTCGATGATGTGATTTACAAAATTGCCTCCAACACTCTACTCAGCAAACTGGATGTAGTCTATCACAGTGCCATTCGTTTTGTCACCAAAGCCCCATATACTACCCACCATTGTGACCTGTACGCTCTCGTTGGCTGGCCCTCACTACATATTCGTCGCCAAACCCACTGGCTCCAGGTAATCTATAAATCACTGCTAGGCAAATCCCCGCCTTATCTTAGCTCATTGGTCACCATAGCAACACCCACCTGTAGTATGCGCTCCAGCAGGTATATCTCACTGGTCATCCCCAAAGCCAACACCTCCTTTGGCCGCCATTCCTTCCAGTTCTCTGCTGCCAATGACTGGAACTAAATAATTATTTTGCACTATGGCCTATTTATTGCCTTACCTCCATAACTTACTACATTTGCACACACTGTATATACATTTTCTATTGTGTTATTGACTGTACGTTTTGTTTATCCCATGTGTAACTCTGTGTTGTTGTTTTTTATCACACTGCTTTGCTTTATCTTGGCCAGGTAGCAGTTGTAAATGAGAACTTGTTCTCAACTGGCTTACCTGGTTAAATAAAGGTTAAATACAAAATAGAAAAATATTTTTAAAAATCTGGAGAATTTCAAGAACTTTAAAAGTTTCTTGAAGTGCAGTCGCAAAAACCATCAAGCACTATGATGAAACTGGCTCTCATGAGGACCGCCACAGGAATGGAAGACCCAGAGTTACCTCTGCTGCAGAGGATAAGTTCATTAGCGTTAACTGCACCTCAGATTGCAGCCCAAATAAATGCTTCACAGAGTTCAAGTAACAGCCACATCTCAACTGTTCAGAGGAGACTGTGTGAATCAGGCCTTCATGGTCGAATTGCTGCAAAGAAACCACTACTAAAGGACACCAATAAGAAGAAGATACTTGCTTGGGCCAAGAAACACGAGCAATGGACATTAGACCGGTGGAAATCTGTCCAAATTTGAGATTTTTGGTTCCAACCGCCGTGTCTTTGTGAGACGCAGAGTAGGTGAACGGATGATCTCCGCATATATGGTTCCCACCGTGAAGCATGAAGAAGGAGGTGTGATGGTGTGGGGGTGCTTTGCTTGTGACACTGTCTGTGATTTATTTAGAATTCAAGGCGCACTTAACCAGCATGGCTACCACAGCATTCTGCAGCGATACGCCATTACATTTACATTTTAGTCATTTAGCAGACGCTCTTATCCAGGTTAAGTGCCTTGCTCAAGGGCACATCGACTGATTTTTCACCTAGTCGGCTCGGGGATTAGAACCAGCGACCTTTCGGTTACTGGCACAACGCTCTTAACCACTAAGCTACCTGCCGCCATCCCATCTGGTTTGCGCTTAGTGGGACTATCATTTGTTTTTCAACAGGACAATGACCCAAAACACACCTCCAGGCTGTGTAAGGGCTATTTGAAGCTATTTGACCAAGAAGGAGAGTGATGGAGTGCTGCATCAGATGACCTGGCCTCCACAATCACCCAACCTCAACCCAATTGAGATGGTTTGGGATGAGTTGGACCGCAGAGTGAAGGAAAAGCAGCCAACAAGTGCTCAGCATATGTGGGAACTCCTTCAAAACTGTTGGAAAAGCATTGCTCATGAAGCTGGTTGAGAGAATGCCAGGAGTGTGCAAAGCTGTCATTAAGGCAAAGGGTGGCTACTTTGAAGAATATAAAATATAAAAAGTAGTAACCACTTTTTTGGTTACTACATGATTCCATATGTGTTATTTCATAGTTTTGATGTCTTCACTATTATTCTACAATGTAGAAAATAGTAAAAATAAAGAAAAACCCTTTAATGAGTAGGTGTGTCCAAACTTTTGACTGGTACTGTGTAGCGTCAAACACTGCCAGTATGAATGTGTAATACTTGACACTGTGCAGTAGTTATCCGTATAGATGGTATGCATCTGAGTAACTCTGTTTTGGGGGTTCTCCAGGGAGCTATCCAGGGGCCAGAGGAGTTTGTGGAGGGTATGGCACTGGGGGTGAAGGCGCTGGTTGGAGGAGCAGTGGGTAAGTGTCATTCTCGTTCATCTCTTTTCTGCTCACCTTGATTCTGCTTAGTTCCCTCATTGCCTTCCCTCCACTTCTGACTTACTTAACTATATTTACACCCTGACATTTCTCTCGCCCTCTCTCTTCTCTCTCCCCCCTCTCTTCTTTCTCCTCTCTCCTCTTCGCGACTGTGTGTTCACTCTGTCTCCTCTCCCAGGGGGCATTGCGGGCGCTGCCTCCAGGATAACAGGCGCCATGGCGAAGGGTGTGGCTGCCATGACGATGGATGAGGAGTACCAGCAGAAGAGACGAGAGACTATGAACAAGCAGCCCAGCGGCCTGAGAGAGGGCCTGACCCGTGGAGGCAAAGGACTGGTGTCTGTGAGTCTGACCCACTATAGAACACAAACACCAGTACAACCTAACTGGTGTCCGAGAATCGAACCCAGCAATATCAGCACAACAGAACCGGGATGTGTGTAGTAGAACAACGTAACCTACTACGTTGCAGGGGAAATTGAAGATATGGTTGTGTTTACACAGGCAGCCTAATTCTGATATTTTTCCACTAATTGGTCTTTTGACCAATCAGAACAGCTATTTTGCCAATAATTGGGCAAAAGATCAGAATTGTGCTGCCTTTGTAAACACAGCCTAAGAGACGTATTATTATATAAATATTATTACTAAAGAAGCTTTATGAATAGCAATAGGTGTTCCTAATGGTCAAGTTCAGATAGTCTTCTCCCGTCGGGTGCCTACTGAACACAATCCAGCTGTCTGTGAGTCTTACCAGCATAGCTGGGCAGTAGAAACGGTCTGTTCTCTCTGTCTGTAACACTCCCGTTCTCCATCTTAGGGCTTCGTCAGTGGGATCACAGGGATCGTCACCAAGCCCATTAGAGGTGCTCAGAAGGAGGGTATGGCAGGCTTCTTTAAGGGTGTTGGGAAGGGGCTGGTGGGGGCTGTGGCCAGACCCACAGGAGGCGTCATCGACATGGCCAGCAGCACCTTCCAGGGCATCAAGAGGGCGGCTGAGACGTCTCAGGACGTGGAGAGTCTGCGTCCGCCTCGCTTCATCCACGAGGACGGGGTCATCCGACCATATAAGGAGAGAGAAGGCGTCGGCAGCCAGATATTACAGGTAACAGGAATGATCTTTAAAACATAAACTAACCCTTATGTCCTCCGTAAACAGAGGACTCCTCTGACTTCAATTGGGAGGGATTATGTGAACTCCAATAAGAAACTCTAATCTTCTAAACTGTTTTTCAATTCGTATCCTAACGAACACGACCCCATAAGGTCAGGTGTCAGGGTTCATGTTAATGTGTGGCCTCACATAAACATCCACTTTCCCTCCCTCTCTCACTCTCAGCCACTTATTGCATCTCAGAGTCCAGATAGATTTTCATCTTCATTGTTTCTTTCATCCTCATCTCTGATTATCTATACTATCTATTGCATCTTAGTCTATGCCGCTCTGACAATGACATTGCTCATCCATATATTTATATATTCTTATTCCATTCCTTTACTTAGATTTGTGTGTATTAGATATTTGTCGTGGAACTGTTAGATATTACTTGCTAGATATTACTGCACTGTCGGAACTAGAAGCACAAGCATTTCGCTACACTTGCAATAACATTTGCTAACCATGTGTATGTGACCAATACATTTCATTTGATTAGATTTGACTCGGCTGCTCTATAGTTCTCCTATAGAGCATGGATGTTGTAGCGCTCTGTGTGTGGAATCCGACATAGGCTTTGTTTACACAGCCACCCGAATAACCCAATTCAGACAGTCCACACTCAGTTTTACATTTACGTCATTTAGCAGATGCTCTTATCCAGAGCGACTTACAGATTGGTGCATTCACCTTAGTGTGGGATAACCACTTTTTTTGGGGGGGGGTAGAAGGATTACTTATCCTATCCCAGGTGTTCCTTAAAGAGGTGGGGTTTCAAATGTCTCCGGAAGGTGGTGAGTGACTCCGCTGTCCTGGCGTCGTGAGGGAGCTTGTTCCACCATTGGGGTGCCAGAGCAGCGAACAGTTTTGACTGGGCTGAGCGGGAACTGTGCTTCAGCAGAGGTAGGGGAGCCAGCAGGCCAGAGGTGGATGAACGCAATGCCCTCGTTTGGGTGTAGGGACTGATCAGAGCCTGAAGGTACGGAGGTGCCGTTCCCCTCACAGCTCCGTAGGCAAGCACCATGGTCTTGTAGCAGATGCGAGCTTCAACTGGAAGCCAGTGTAGTGTGCGGAGGAGCGGGGTGACGTGAGAGAACTTGGGAAGGTTGAACACCAGACGGGCTGCGGCATTCTGGATGAGTTGTAGGGGTTTAATGGCACAGGCAGGGAGCCCAGCCAACAGCGAGTTGCAGTAATCCAGACGGGAGATGACAAGTGCCTGGATTAGGACCTGTGCCGCTTCCTGTGTAAGGCAGGGTCGTACTCTCGGAATGTTGTAGAGCATGAACCTACAGGATCGGGTCACCGCCTTGATGTTAGCGGAGAACGACAGGGTGTTGTCCAGGGTCACGCCAAGGCTCTTCGCACTCTGGGAGGAGGACACAACGGAGTTGTCAACCGTGATGGCGAGATCATGGAACGGGCAGTCCTTCCCCGGGAGGAAGAGCAGCTCCGTCTTGCCAAGGTTCAGCTTGATGTGGTGATCCGTCATCCATACTGATATGTCTGCCAGACATGCAGAGATGCGATTCGCCACCTGGTTATCAGAAGGGGGAAAGGAGAAGATTAGTTGTGTGTCGTCTGCGTAGCAATGATAGGAGAGGCCATGTGAGGATATGACAGAGCCAAGTGACTTGGTGTATAGCGAGAATAGGAGAGGGCCTAGAACTGAGCCCTGGGGGACACCAGTGGTGAGAGCAGCTTCTCGCCACGCCACTTGGTAGGAGCGACCGGTCCGGTAGGACGCAATCCAAGAGTGAGCCGCGCCGGAGATGCCCAGCTCGGAGAGGGTGGAGAGGAGGATCTGATGGTTCACAGTATCAAAGGCAGCAGACAGGTCTAGAAGGACAAGAGCAGAGGAGAGAGAGTTAGCTTTAGCAGTGCGGAGAGCCTCCGTGACACAGAGAAGAGCAGTCTCAGTTGAATGACCAGTCTTGAAACCTGACTGGTTTGGATGATGAAGGTCATTCTGAGAGAGATAGCAAGAGAGTTGGCTAAAGACGGCACGCTCAATAGTTTTGGAGAGAAAAGAAAGAAGGGATACTGGTCTGTAGTTGTTGACATCAGAGGGATTGAGTGTTGGTTTTTTGAGAAGGGGTGCAACTCTCGCTCTCTTGAAGACGGAAGGGACATAGCCAGCGGTCAAGGATGAGTTGATGAGCGAGGTGAGGTAAGGGAGAAGGTCACCGGAGATGGTCTGGAGAAGAGAGGAGGGGATAGGGTCAAGTGGGCAGGTTGTTGGGCGGCCGGCCGTCACAAGTCGCAAGATTTTATCTGGAGAGAGAGGGGAGAAAGAAGTCAAAGCATAAGGTAGGGCAGTGTGAGCAGGACCAGCAGTGTCATTTGACTTAACAAACGAGGATCGGATGTCGTCAACCTTCTTTTCAAAATGGTTGACAAAGTCATCCACAGAGAGGGGGGGGGGGGGGGGGGGGGGATTCAGCAGGGAGGAGAAGGTGGCAAAGAGCTTCCTAGGGTTAGAGGCAGATGCTTGGAATTTAGAGTGGTAGAACGTGGCCTTAGCAGCAGAAACAGATGAAGAAAATGTAGAGAGGAGGGGGTGAAAAGATGCCAGGTCCGCAGGGAGTCTAGTTTTCCTCCATTTCCGCTCGGCTGCCCGGAGCCCTGTTCTGTGAGCTCGCAATGAGTCATCAAGCCACGGAGCTGGAGGGGAGGACCGAGCCGGCCGGGAGGATAGGGGACATAGAGAGTCAAAGGATGCAGAAAGGGAGGAGAGGAGGGTTGAGGAGGCAGAATCAGGAGATTGGAGGGGGGGGGATTCAGCAGGGAGGAGAAGGTGGCAAAGAGCTTCCTAGGGTTAGAGGCAGATGCTTGGAATTTAGAGTGGTAGAAAGTGGCCTTAGCAGCAGAAACAGATGAAGAAAATGTAGAGAGGAGGGAGTGAAAAGATGCCAGGTCCGCAGGGAGTCTAGTTTTCCTCCATTTCCGCTCGGCTGCCCGGAGCCCTGTTCTACACAACTTGTGTGAGTGAGAGGAAGCACAAGCACCACCACCAGTGAACTTACACCACTGCCACCAGTCAGCCTACACCACTGTTGTTACTATGACAACTAGCGTAGCCATGTCAGCAAATGACTACTGTCACGAATCTGATTTGGTCGCTTGTAACTTGCTGTTTGGACAGTCAGTATTCCAAAACGGATTTGAAAAACAAAACTGATTTGAACATTAAGGCCTGCAGTGTGAACAAACCGTGGCAGAGGTCGAGTTCCTCCTGCCTGACTAGATGTGCAGGTGTTGCATTGCATCAACCAATTGTTCCATGCCACATCAACTGTGCAGTCAGGCATCAGATTGGTATAACGTATAATTTTGGTTACCTGATATGTTAAATACATATCCAGGTTTTGAAAGATCTGGCATGCGTCAGCAATGTAGTTGGGCAGGAACTTGAGTTGCTTGAGTACCAACAGTTTATCTTGAAGCTGCAATGTACTTCTGTATTGATGTTTCACAGGGGAAGTGATGGATAATATTATTTTCAATGCAAACAAGATTTTTGTAGAGCTGGAGATGAATCGTAGTGTCAGACATGGTACCATCTGTCTCTCTGTATGTGTTTCTGTCTGTCTTTGTCTTGAAATTGGCTTTGTCTTCTCTCTTGTAATGTCCACAGAAAATGGTGGTCTACACTGATTGGAGTAGAACTGGCAGTGGTGGTGGTGATGATGATGATGAAAAGGTGCTATAGAAATGAAATGTATTATTGATGTGGATGATGACAACTAGAATGGAATTGATAAACACTAGGTAATGCTTTGGTCTTTCATAGTTTGTCTTGAAGCTGCACTGTACTGCTGTACTGATGTTTTAAGTGGTGAAATTATGTGATAATTTGCTTAAATGGAAACAATGTGTTTTTGTAGAGCCAGATATTATTAGAGACGGGCTTGTCTGTCTGCCCTGACATTGGCTTTGTCTTCTCTCTTGTCATGTCCACAGAAAAGGGTGGCTTTCACTGATTGGAGTAGGACTGGCAGTGATGGTGATGATGACTGCTACAGTCGAACTGCTAAGTCCTAGTTAATTCTTTGGTCTTCCATAGCTTTTAATGTGTACTGTATGTTTGTGTCGGTCATTGTGGAGTAGCCTGCTCCAGCAGGACATGTTATCACTCTAGGCCTCCTGAATAACCAGCTGCCAGGCAATGTTTGTCATTCTCGGCTATTCTTTATTTTTTGGTAACTGGAGATGTGCCCAGCATTTTTTATAAAACACCCATGTATTCTCAGGATTCTGCTGCAGGATCCCCTTGCATTTTGTCATGTAAAACCATCATTCTATTTATTTTACCCTTCATCTGTCATTCAACCATCTGCGCTTTCATGTAAGGGGGCGGAGTCAGAAAACCAAGAGATCGATAATCATAATAATATAATTGATTAAATAATACTTAATGGTATGCTATCAGAGAGCCATGAAAAATTATGTGAAAAGTTGATATTATTCATATGAAGTTAATATGAAATATATTGTATTGGTCTGGAGTGACGTAATGGTCAGTCAGCAGTCCTCCCTCATGGCATTTTGGCCCCTCCCTCTTTCAGAAGCGTCGTTGCTATGCGCTCAGTCGTTCACTCATCCAACACCACTGCTCTTCCTACTGTATAAAGTGCATTTTGAAACATCTATTTCATCGTTTTCTCATCCATACCTTTTCCTATCACTTTATCAACATTCATTACCATGCCATTATGAACCGTTTAAACGGTTTATAACAGGTATGTGTTAGACTCAATAAGTAAGTATCAGTGTACCACAGGGGAATATTTAGATGTCGTTTGACATCTCTGGTCACATGACAGATGGTCCACAAGTCAAGTGGAAAGATGATGGCCCTGTTTGAATACTTTAAAAACACACCCTTCCTTCCTTCCTTCCTTCCTTCTTCCCTTGAAGTTATCACTGATCTAACACAAATTGATGTGTGTAAGCAACTGTTGTAGCACAGCTTTCTCCAATCCAACCATGTCAGATCAGGGATTTCTTCAAGGAATGGAGAAAGGAAGGAGGAATTCATCAAGTATTCAAACAGAGCCTAGGATGTGTCCTGCATGCAAGCCTTTGTCAGATCAGTAGGGGAAGTCAATGTAGATCAGTAACAGTACTCATCAGATCTTCTGCCAGAGCCAGTGTGAATTGTGAACATCCCAAAGCCATTTTAATCGAAGTGTGAAAAAGGTACCCAATGACTCTTTACGTATCTTATCAGCAGTAGACTTAACATTTAGTGTAGCATAGCGTGTGTGTTTAAATGTTCAATTTGATAAAGACGTGTGTCTATTTTCTGGAATTGTGTTTGAAGAAATCTGATAAGCTAATTTTTCTCTTTTAGAAAATTGAGAATGGACAGTTCGCCAAGTACAGATACTTTGCTCACGCCAAAGTAAACGAGTCTGATTTCTTGATGATCACCAAAAGGTAAGAGGCTGGCTGGGGTTTGTAGTATTAAAAATAGACTGTAGTGGCCGACAGAATACTGTTGTTTCAGTAATGGCTTCCTGTGTGACTGTTGTCTGTCAGTGAATGTTCTGAGGCTCTGTCTCTCTCGTCTCACCAGTGGAGTCTTTTTCGTGACCAAAGGCACATTTGGGCAGCTGACCTGTGAGTGGCAGTATCTGTTTGACGAGTTCACCAAGAAGCCCATGATCGTGGAGGGGAGGAGGCTTCGGATTGAGGCAAAGGTATCCTCATCTGCCCATTATAGTGATCCATACACACACAAGTATTAACTGATACAACGTGAATGAAACTCATCTTAACCAAGCTGCTTATCATAACTATCTGAATAAACCGCTCCCCGTTTTCAAAGCAGTATCTCCCGCTAGCTGGAAACCCCTGCGTAGGGAATACCCCTTCACTCATTTGCATCCAAACAGTTTATTCCTCTACATTATATCATAGTACGGCCCCCTATTTCTCAGAACTCATGTGCTATCTAAAAAATATAAAAAATACCAACCTTTTCCTGTATGTGTTTCAGGAGAGAGTAAAGTCTGTGTTTCATGCCAAAGAGTTTGGGAAGATTCTAAACTTCAGAAGTCCAGAAATAGCCGAGGTGGGTTAGCACAACCTAAACTGCTGCCATGTTTCTGTCGTTATACATACCAAACAATATTTATCAGCCAACGACACCAAACTCAAGTTAATCTAGGATGTGGTTCCAGTTTAAATGTGACTGTTGACGGTGTAATTCTATGGTTTGGTATTGAAATGTGTATGGTTTTGTTTATCTACAGTGGGTTCTTACCAAGCTGGAGGACGCCAGGGAGAGTCTACATAAAAACTGACTGGTCACTCCAATAGTGCCACAAACCAGCACTGAGACATGGCAAAAGTACAACGTTGCCTGATAGTGTGTGTGTGTGTGTGTGTGTGCTAGGTTAGGGTGTGCCTCCATCAGTATACTAGCTACTTACTCTCAGGTTAGACTTGCTCTTTCATTCACACACACTGACTGTCTGTCTGTCTGGACGTCTTGCAGACACACAGACTGCACTAGCTAACACCATCACTGCTCCGGTTGTACACAGCCATGTGGCAGAAATATCTCCTAGCTCCTTGCACTTCCCTAAGCCAGCTTGGTCTGCCGGAGGTTGTAGAAGAGGCCGCGGTGGGAGTATTCGAAGGCAGTAAACTACTCGCGGATGTTCTCTGTCGGTGGCACAGGTGAAGTGGGAGTGAACAGTCTTCTCTCTGTCTAGGTTCTGCTCCTGGTACATGTTCAGGATGAACTCCCTGGTTGCTTTAGGGTCATTCTACGGCCCTGGAAACAACAGCTTTAGTGTGTGTGCGCGCGAATAGTGTGCCTCTATCAGAAGGCAAGTCATGGCAGGTTGCAGTCTGTATGTGTCTGTAAAACAATGTGTTTGTATGTGTGTGAATGTCACGGTCACTGCTCTGATTGTAAACAACTATGTGCCAGAAATGTCTCCCTTTCCTAAATATACATGTTTGTTTTTTATATTTTCTTTGAAAAAGTAGGGTACCTGAGGGACTTTCCTAACTGCCACTGTTGACGTAGCCGTCATCACATTACAATTCATTTGACAGTTACTGAATGACGTGCTTGACAAGATGTATCATTGTGGCACTGTGTTTATCTGCCGTGATGTGTATATGTTAAACACAGTGTTATTTTACTGTTGATATAGGAGGGGGGAAAACGTTTTAAACCTTTTTCATCGGCTAGTTAGCGGAGTTCAGTCCAAGATGCTAATGATTCTGTTTCAACACTCACCCTATTCCACCTCTTCCTACATCACTAACTCTTGTTTTTCTACACTTTTCTGCATGCAATTTTTATGTAAATCTGCTCTACATTGATTTCAGTGGAGTATCCTGTCTGTCTGTGTGTGTGTGTGTATATATATATATATATATATATATATATATATATATATATATACATATCTCTTCACTGAGTTTACAAAACATTAAGAACACCTGCTCTTTCCATGAGACTATCCAGGTGAAAGCTATGATCCCTTATTGATGTCACTTGTTAAATCCACTTCAATCAGTGTAGATGAAGGGGAAGAGACAGGTTAAAGAAGGATGTTTAAGGCTTGAGACATGATTGTATGTGTGCCATTCAGAGGGTGAATGGGCAAGACAAAATATTATATACACCGTGCCTTTGAACGGAGTATGGTAGTAGGTGCCAGGCACACCGGTTTACGACAAGAACTGCAACCCTGCTGGGTTTTTCACGCTCAACAGTTTCCTGTGTGTATCAAGAATTGTCCACCACCCAAAGGACATCCAGCCACTTTGACAGAACTGTGAGAAGCATTGGGGTCAACATGGGCCAGCATCCCTGTGGAACACTTTTGACACCTTGTAGAGTCCATGCCCCCATGAATTGAGACTGTTCTGAGGGCAAAAGGAGGGGTGTGTAACGGAGTGGCTGCAGTTCTGGATTTTCTCGAAACCCGATTTGCCGTGGCTACAAATAGAGATTTACATTTTAGTCATTTAGCAGAGACTCTTATCCAGAGCGACTAACAGTTAGTGCATTCATCTTAAGATAGCTAGGTGGGACAACCACATATCACAGGCATAGAAAGTACATTTTTCCTCAATAACGTAGCTATCAGTAGAGTCAGAGCTAGAAGGGGGGGGGGGGGGTCAAGTGCAAGTGCTGGTAAATTTTTCTGCGCATGTGTTGGAATTTCTTATGTAGCTGCTGTCCACTCCGCATGTTCCAGATATTGCATTCCATCCCTCAGTAGGCTATTAAGCATAAGCGCGATTTCATGTTCTTTTTTCAGGAGTGGAGTTAGGCTACAACATGTAAATAGTTACATGTAGCCTACACAAAAGACATGATCAACATGTTCATACAAACTCACATGTATTTTTTTGCCCCAATGCACAACTCAAGTGGGGAGTTACATGCAGCTATCTAGGCAAATAAAATAAAATGTTATTGGTCACATACACATATTTAGCAGATATTATTGCGGGTGTAGCGAAAATCACCCCGAGAACACCATCCCCACAGTGAAGCATGGTGCGTTGTCCCATGGTGTTTATACTTGCGTACTATTGTTTGTACAGATGAACATGGTACCTTTAGGCATTTGGAAATTGCTCCCAAGGATGAACCAGACTTGTGGAGGTCTACGATTTTTTTTCTGAGGTCTTGGCTGATTTCTTTTGATTTTCCCATGATGTCAAGCAAAGAGGCACTGAGTTTGAAGGTAGGCTTTGAAATACATCCACAGGTACACCTCCAATTGACTCAAATTATGTCAATTAGCCTTTCAGAAGCTTCTAAAGCCATGACATAATTTTCTGGAATTTTCCAAGCTGTTTAAAGGCACAGTGAACTTAGTGTATGTAAACTTCTGACCCACTGGAATTGTGATACAGTGAATTATAAGTGAAATAATCTGTCTGTAAACAATTGTTGGAAAAATTACTTGTCATGCACAAAGTAGATGTCCTAACCAACTTGCCAAAATTATAGTTTGTTACCAAGAAATGTGTGGAGTGGTTGAAAAATGAGTTTTAATTACTCCAACCTAAGTGTATGTAAACTTCCGACATATATATTTTAAGAACTGCTAAATTGTCTGCTGCTACCTTTTATACTCTACTTTTATTTTTTTATTTTTTTTTATGGTTGCTTTTGATTTGGGGGTCACTGTAATCCATGTAACTAAATTATTTAATCTGTTTTGCCTTTGTAAGCAAGCGCTCTCATTGTGAGTCAGTATAGAATCGCTGGTGCAAATTAAATTGTTCTGCCATTTTCAGAAAAATTAAGGGTCTGTGTGTTTGGTATTGGCTCTTTTTGTCATGATAGGATCTTCAAAGACATACAAGACATTAGACAGCACATAAAGTGCCTACAGTGCCTTGCAAAAGTATTAAGCCCCCTTGGCATTTTTCCTATTTTGTTGCATTACAACCTGTAATTTAAATAGATTTTTATTTGGATTTCATGTAATGGACATAGTCCAAATTGGTGAAAGGAAAAAATAAATAACGGAAAAGTGGTGCGTGCATATGTATTCACCCCTTTTGCTATGAAGCCCCTAAATAAAATCTGGCGCAGCCAATTACCTTCAGAAGTCACATAATTAGTTAGATTGAACACAGGTGGACTTTAAGTGTCACATGATCTGTCACATGATATCAGTATATATACACCTGTTCTGAAAGGCCCCAGAGTCTGCAACACCACTAAGCACCACCAAGCAAGCGGCACCATGAAGACCAATGAGCTCTCCAAACAGGTCAGGGACAAAGTTGTGAAGAAGTACAGATCAGGGTTGGGTTATAAAAAAATATCAAACTGAACATCCCACGGAGCACCATTAAATCCATTATTTAAAAAATGGAAAGAATATGGCACCACAACAAACCTGCCAAGAGAGGGCCGCACACCAAAACTCACGGACCAGGCAAGGAGGGCATTAATCAGAGGCAACAAAGAGACCAAAGATAACCCTGAAGGAGCTGCAAAGCTCCACAGCAGAGATTGGAGTATCTGTCCATAGGACCACTTTAAGCCGTACACTCCACCGAGCTGGGCTTTATGGAAGAGTGGCCAGAAAAAAGCCACTGCTTAAAGAAAAAAACATGTTTGGTGTTCGCCAAAAGGCATGTGGGAGACTCCCCAAACATATGGAAGAAGGTACTCTGGTCAGATGAGACTAAAATTGAGCTTTTTGGCCATCAAGGAAAATGTCTGGCGCAAACCCAACACCTCTCATCACCCCGAGAACACCATCCCCACAGTGAAGCATGGTGGTGGCAGCATCATGCTGTGGGGATGTTTTTCATCGGATGGGACTGGGAAACTGGTCAGAATTAAAGGAATGATAGATGCCGATAACTACAGGGAAATTCTTGAGGGAATTCTGTTTCAGTCTTCCAGAGATTTGAGACTGGGACGGAGGTTCACCTTCCAGCAGGACAATGACCCTAAGCATACTGCTAAAGCAACACTTAAATCTGTGGTATGACTTAAAGATTGCTGTACACCAGCGGAACCCATCCAACTTGAAGGAGCTGGAGCAGTTTTGCCTTGAAGAATGGGCAAAAATCCCAGTGGCTAGATGTGCCAAGCTTACTGACACGCACCAATAAAGATTTTACATCAAATTACATTTACATTTACATTTTAGTCATTTAGCAGACGCTCTTATCCAGAGCGACTTACAGGAGCAATTAGGGTTAAGTGCCTTGCTCAAGGGCACATTTACGTCATTTAGCAGACGCTCTTATCCAGAGCGACTTACAAATTGGTGCATTCACCCTATAGCCAGTGGGATAACCACTTTCCAATTTATTTATTTATTTATTTATTTTTTTTGGGGGGGGGTAGAAGGATTACTTTATCCTATCCCAGGTATTCCTTAAAGAGGTGGGGTTTCAAATGTCTCCGGAAGGTGGTGAGTGACTCCGCTGTCCTGGCGTCGTGAGGGAGCTTGTTCCACCATTGGGGTGCCAGAGCAGCGAACAGTTTTGACTGGGCTGAGCGGGAACTATGCTTCCGCAGAGGAAGGGGAGCCAGCAGGCCAGAGGTGGATGAACGCAATGCCC